ATTCTTTCTGGATCTTTGTCGTGGGATAATAGAAATCAAATGGAAGGTAGTTTATATAGTCTTTGCTTTCGTTACAATGAGCGGTGGGTGGACCAAAGAACCCACACTGTCAAAAATGATAGAAAATTAGGTAATAAATGCTGGAATCGAGTGGTTTTTATCTTAATTTGAGTACATGCTGATTGCCTTAAAACAATGTTTGCCATTGTTTTAAAAAGTTACAAGAAATGTCTAATTTGGAATAAGAAAATAAATAAAGCAACAGTTCTAGAAAAAACACTAAATGGGACAAATGTCCGATTTGTAAATATTGTTTTAAGACTGCACTCAAATTAAGATGAGTAAAAAAACACTCAATTTAAACAATTATTACCACATATTATATCACTTTTTGCTGTGATTTCTTGTATTGTTTTAAAACAATATTTTGCTTTGTCCCAATCTTATTTTAAGGCAGTCAAAATATGCTAAAAATGTTGTTTTTTTTGTTGCTGCAATTTTTATCTTATTTTTCATCACTTTTTGCAGTGTATAGCCCTGAGTGTGGAGAGAAATTTTGTGAAGTCATTCCAGAGGCTGTTCCACTTCTAATGAGAGAGAGAGCAGGCTTTTCCAAAGCACCCCAAGCTCACTGGAGGTCCTCAGCTTTTAAGGATTTGTGGTTGAACTTTTCTTTCTAGACATGAGTCAAGAGTGAGGTTTTCACAGCAAGCACCTAAAGGTATGGATTTTCAGTTTACGTTGTGTTAATCCGCGATATGGGTTTAGTTATTTTACTTCAAAACTCATTTTTGGTCTGTTTGGGAGGACGAGCAAAACCATTCACATTTTTATTCTAAAAACAACCAGACAGCCTGGCGCTTAAATATTTATATAAAAGGTTAATGTGGCATTGTTTCAAGTCAATACTTTTTTTTGTTTAGCCCTAAATTACAGCATTAGTTATCTCGAAGGACTTTACAAAATCGTTGATTCGCCAACACAGATCAGAGAACAGTTAAAACACAAGAAATGTATTGACAAAAACGTTTATAAATGACCAGGTTTGTAAGTATGTATTAAGATTAAGATATAAAGAAGCAAGTATAAAATCTTTAGCTGTAGCATAATGAAAGTGGCAAATATGGCTTGTGTCTCTTAAACATATACACTCATTATTAGTCTGATGAAATGATAGTTCTGCAAATAGAGCAGTAAAAACCCAGTGTAGTCTCCCACTGTGCTCCAGCTTCCTCTCTGGCCACAGTCCTCGCTCGCTCGCTGTGGAGAGAGAGTCAGTCACTGTTTCCTTTGAAGCGTCAGAGCGTTCTGCTGCGAGGCTGAGGAAGGGTCTTTTTTCTTCTCTCACCGCACGGACTGCAATGCCAGCGGATGTAACACCTGATAAACCGCTCACCTTGAAAACCAGGACCAATGAACGGGCGATTTTTGCCGGGAAAGGTGTCTCCCTCGCAGTTTGCAGATGGATCTAAGAGGGGACTTTTCAAACCGAGGTAATATCGGGCACACAGGCTTTCTGATGCTCTTATCTTCACATCTTACTTCTCATTTCAGTTTTTTCAGAGAGTTTATTTGAGCTCAGAGCAATACATACATTTGCTAGACTACAACATGTGATGAAAAATAAGTCAAAATTTGGCAAACTGTATCTTAATTTGAGCACAATTTCACTGTCTTCAAACAAGATTTGCCAATGAGACAGGCAATATGATCTTACAAGAAATATCTTCCTTAGAATGAGAGAGAAAATAAAGCAAGTTATTGAAATAAGTTACATTTTCTTGTCTCTTTGGCAAATCTCGTTTTAAGACACTCAGAATGTACAAAAGTTAGCTTAAAAAACACTCAAATCCCGCATTTATGATAAAAAAAAATACGGCGTACCCCTTTATTGCATAAGTAAAGTAAATATTCCAAGTCAGAGAGATACATCTATGCAGTTCAGAAATATCTTAAGAGCTCTTTGTGGAGTCTGTCTAAATGTATAAATGCGATGATAGATTCTGCAGGAAAACTTGAGGCATAAATACATTAAGAACAATTATTGAAGAGACTATCTTTTTTGTCTAGTTGATGAAATGTTTTATATTGAAAAGAAATCTTGGCTTGCAGTGTTTGCTTTTATCCTCCTCTTCATCATGTTCTCACCAAGACGACAAGGTCTTTAGTTGAGTTGTGTGCAAAAGATTAGGTAACATTTAAATTAAGCAATATTGCACTGCAAAAAATGATAAAAAAAATTAGGTATATCAAGTGTTTTTTTTTTTTTTTATCTTAATCTGAGCACATTTTGACTATCTTAAAACAAGATTTGCCAATGGGACAAAGCTACTTAGTCTTATTTCAAGAACTGTCTATTTTGTCATCCTACGAAAAACATCCCTTGTATTTAAGAAAAAGAAGGTAATTGTGTTCGTCCCATTGGCAAACCTTGTTTTATAGCAGTCAGAATGGGCTCAATTTAAGACACATGTTTCCAAATTTGAGCCATTTTTAACTTAATTTTCATCCCTTTTTGCAGTGTAGAATAGAATGATAAGCACCAGATCAACTGAGATGTGTTGGAGATGAGCCAATAAAGACACAAAGCCTCATTGGTACCTTGGACTAAAGTATTTACTACAACACCTCCCGCTCTGCTTCTGGGCTGCACATTTCAATGCAGATACTTGGAGGAACTTCAGCCAAAATCCACAGGGATTGGTTTATTTGTGTCGTGTGCAGCTGACAGAGGTGGTATTGTTTAAACTTTCCAACCACATAAGGGGTTGACAGCATAATACTGTGTTCATGCGACACATGGCTTTTCAAAACATATAATTCAACATACTCGTGTTAAAGATTTCCTGTGCTCGGTTCCCATAAATACTTCCGTCCCACGCTGCAAAGAGTGATGAAGAATAAGTCAAAGAATGTATCTTAAATTAACACATTTGACGAATTTTTTTCTTAAACTTTGGGGTTTTTTGTGTGGAAGCAGCTGCTGTGTGCAAAAAAATGTGGTCGGCGATATCAAAGACGGAGAGGTACAACACAGAATAAGGTCTGAATGAATGTTGCTCAGTGATGGTTAAAAGCTCTTACATACACTACAAAAAGCAAGGAAATCTAAGTTAAAAAAATTGCAATTTGGCAAAATGGGTCTTCATTTGAGCACATTCTGACTGCCTTTCAACCAAATTTGCAAATGGTACAAGCAATATTAGCTTGTTATAAAAAGATACAAGAAATAAATGACTAAATGCCTTTGTCCCATTGGCAAATCTTGTTTTAAGACAGTCAGAATTAACTCAAACTAAAATAAAAACCACTTGATTTGAGCGTTTATCATCAACACGTGTGCAAACTGTCAAGACTTTCTCTTACTACCGTGGTCAAACGTAACCATGTCATTATACCTTTCCCAAACATGTATGAGACATTTTTATCCCTGTCTGTGCACTTCCTTGTTCCATTCCTTTGCTAATTGCAGACTGCAGAGCCACAAAGAGCAGCTTCTCTCGGTCGGAGGAAGGCAGCCGAAAGCGAAAAGATCTCGCAGTGACTCAGCTTTTAAAAGTTCCTTCTCCTGCAATCGTCTTTTTTTTGTGAGCCAGCTTGAGCTTGATTATCCCTTGTGGTTGCCAGTTGTAATGATGGGGGAACATGCTGCAAATTCAGCTGGACTTGCATTCAGTAGCTCCACAACTTGTACATTTAACAAGGCATTAGTGCTGAACGTAGATATGGAGTAGCATCAATTTCCCCCACTAACTATAGTTCGCAGGCTACAGCTGTTAAAATACTAAAACCGTGGATTTAGTGGCACCTTTCATAGACTGTGTTTATGGCTTAGAAATAAGTCTGCAAAAGGGGACTTATCACATTCAGAAGTCTGCAACTTTTATCTTTGGCAATCTACATGTGCACTTCTTGTAGATATTTATACATATTTGTGCGTTATATCTTCAGGGTCGGAGAAGGCTTATGATATTAGAGATGGACAGGTACAGATTTTGCTATGTTCAATTTCAATACTGTGGCTTTCAATACCTGCTATGAGCCGTTATGGTAAATGGACTGATACCAGAGAAGATCCTCAATCCTCAATCAGAGAAAATCCTCAAATCATGGCTTTAACTTTGTTTGAGAAAAAGTTAAAATTTAGCGATTCGGGATTAATATCAGCCAATAAATACTGTTATCTCTCAGGACTCTGCGCTGGCTTCCTGTGACTCAGAAAATATACTTTAAAGCAAGTCTGTCTCGATGGCCTCGCACTAAAGTACATCTGTGACTGTTTGAACCAACTCGGACTCTGGAGGAGCACAGGGACTGGCCTCCTGTTGGTGCCCGGAGTCGGAACTAAACTTGGAGAGGCAGCATTTCAAATGTATGCAGCTGAACTCCAGAACAGTCTTCCTGAAAATGTGAGACAGGCTTCTTCTCTGACAAATCCAGGTTAAAACTGAGGCATTTTATCTTCACTCTTTTTAATGTAATGATTATTTATGCCTTTATTTATTTTAATACCTTGTCTGATTGTTTCTATCTTGTTCTGTTACACACTTTGAATTGCCTTTTGTATGAACTGTGCCATACAAATAAGCTTCCCTTGCCTAGCGCATATATCGGCTTTACGATATCATAAAATTTCTACCAGCTCCAATAAGCTTGCAAATTACTATGTGATATCAAACTTGCTACGAAAGTTACTTTTGTAACTTTTCACATCTTACTAAGATTTCTGAGAGGCCTCTATCAATTTCAGCTCAATGATTGATTTTGATTGATTTGTCTATTCTTTCTGTTCTGATTCAGTGTGTAGTGTAGTGTCTAACAGTCCAGCTCTTAAACACCTTATGTCTGTTTGCTATTACTGTCGCAGCAGTGGTACCCTTTTCCAAATGAGTTGCCTGTTTGAGCATGTGGCAACTGACTGCAGACAGATGGCATCCAGTTTTTTTGGTCCCCTTTCAGCCCTGATTAAAGCGCTAACTCTCCCTGTTGTTTGGTTTCAGGTGGGATGAGAGCAGCTCCATCAGCAGTGGCCTCAGCGATGGCGACGGCGATGGATCGGAGAATATTAGTTCAGAAGAATTCAACGTCGGCTCGTCCCTCAACTCGTTACCGTGCACGCCCCTGACATCCAGACGGAGCTCCTCTGCCATGGTGAGCCACTCCTCATGCTGTGATGATGATGATGATGGTGATGATGGTAATAATAGTAATAATAATAATGCGTTTGTTTTATATAATGCAACAATTGTAAAGCACTTTGTGACTCTGGTCTGTGAAAGGCGCTATAAAAATGATTACCCACTGTGCTTTATAGGACACTCAAAGACGCTTCACATGTCATTTTACTTTCACTCAAAACGCGCTGGTGATAAACTACTACTACTGTAGCCACAGCTGCCCTGGGGCACACTGACAGAAACGAGACAACCAGTATGTGCCATCAGCCCCTCCCACCACCACCAACCATTCACACACATACACCACACTCATTCTAATGTGGGTGAAGTGTCTTGCCTAAGGACACGGCCAAACAGGTTGGCACTTCACAGCTGCAGCCGCCGTGCAGAGGTCTCCCATCACAGTACTAACCAACTCCTTGCCGCACTTAGCTTCAGAGGTCTTACGGGATCTGGCTTTCACGCAGGTATGTCCACAATGCAGGTTTGCCAGCATTAAGAGTAATCTCCTGTGTTCGTGTTGGAGATCCAAATTACTGTCTTCTTCTTGTGGATGTATACATGTGTTTAAAGGCTTTTATACAAAGCGTGTGAAGCTAAACCACTTAGAGGCCAGAGAGAAAAATGATAAAACTGTGGAATGAAGAAGGGAGTACAATGTTTGGCTCTGTGCATTTTGACAGATGGTCCTGCATCATGTTCAATCCCTTAATAAGACAGTAGTAAAAGAGTTGATTGTTTTTTAGGAATTTTTGTTTGCTGTTTGAGATCGGGCTATAAAAAACAACAACATATTTACACAGAATTGGTGTTGATGAATTTTACATTGCTTACATGTGAGTTTTTGAGTGTCCAAAAATATGCTGTATAAAAATTTAAGCATTATTGTTATTTACCTTACTTTGTTATTTATGATGCATTATTATCATTTAGCTAACTTATAGATAGATAGATACTTTGTTGACTCCCGTAGGAGAAATTCAGGTGTCCCGTAGAAGCGGAAACACATCTACTGTATCCGTATAAACAAAACAAATAAATGGATCATTCTAAAAATAGCTAACAATCGTATTAAATCTTAACTTACCTAACATTATTATACTTAAAGTTGAATTATGTTATACAGTATGTTCATGTCGAGTCATCCTTAAGTGTCCATAAAAGTCAAAAGGGTATTAATAAACCATGCTATTTTTTAATACTTCTTTAACTAATTTCAAACTTAGTTTTACAGCCCCTAAATCTTGTTATTGTTTTCATTTCGATGTCCCGCCCTCCACCCTTTTACCACGTCCGTCCGTGCTCCTACATCGGTCCCTGGGAGTAGAATCCTCCCTGAATGTGGACCTCCCAAAGTTTTTCTCAATTTTCTCCCACTGGGTTTTTAGAGTTGTTCTTTGTCGGCGCAGGAAGGTCTAAGGACAGAGGTGATGATCTAGGACACTCAACATACAACAACTTTTATTGTCTTTTATTGTTTTATCGTCTGCCCTTTTTGGACTGATGGCTTAATGTGTTTTTATATTTACCTTTCATTATTACTTTATTGTGTCATCTTCATTAGTCTCCTCATAGTACAAACAGCATAACGAGACACATTTTATTTTATTTTGTTTTCCTTTTGTTCCCACTATGCTCCCCTTGTGTCAAAAAAAGTAAAATAAAACAAATACAAAATTAGATTAAATTAAGACAATGACACAAACAAATAAAACAATAACAAAAATATAAATAAATATGTAGAAAATATAAACAATAGATGATGACTTTTCCTATAGCTATATATTATTTACCGGTATTACATCAAAACGATTCAGAAAAATAACAGTATTTTATTGTTTTGTCCTCCGAGATAAGCTTGATTTAGGGCTATACAAGAATAAATTGAATTGAAAAAAAATCTAAAAGGTTTTCTAATTAGATGAAGACACATGTGGTTGTCTGAATTCTTCACAATATTTAACTTTTACAAGAATATCGCCCTTGTCTCTTCGCAGCTCCGCACCGACGCAGAGAAACGCTTCCTGGTGGAGAGTGGGCTTTCATGGTACAGCGAGGACAAGTCCAGCTCTAAACTTGGAACCAGCTTTGACTCAGGAAGCCTCAAGTCCGAAGCCCCGAGCAAGTGGCGAAAGAAGCCCCCGAGTTTAAGTGAAGACTTTGGCAAAAGCGACATGAAGAAGCCCCAGAGTTTAGGACAACCTGGCAACTTCAGAAAGGGAAAGAATCCACCCGTCGGAGTCACGTCTCCCATCACCCACACCTCCCAGAGCATGCTCAAAGTGGCAGGTGAGATATCTACACATACTTGGAATAATAGTCAGTATGTGCATATGCAATATTTTTTTTTACACATATGACCAATACAAACTCAACACTGCAAAAAAAAAAAGTTTAAAAAATGCCCAAATTTGTATCTTAATGTATCTTCATTTGAGCACATTCTGACTACCTTTAAACACGATTTGCCAATGGGAAAGAGCAAATTCATCTTTGAGTTCTTGAAATAAGTCTAAATGGCTTTGTCCAATTGACATATCTTGTCATAGGGTTATTATGATAAAAATCCTTTGTTAACGCTTTATCATCTGAGTTATAAAACCTCTCCTTAGCATGTTAACAATAACCAAATAAATCAATCACTAAACGACTTTTTCAATAATCAATTAGTTGCGATTAATCAAGCTTGATTCAAACAAAGTACTGTTTGTAGAAGTCTTTATTCCTATGCAGTGCACTTCAGTATCCCACAAACTGCCCCTTTGATAAAACTGGAATGTGTTTTATTGGGAAAGTGCGTAAGATTGAGTGTCTTCAGCCCATGATTCAGATTCAGGTCAGGGGCACGGAATATAGATGTTTTTCTTCCCATTCCCCATACACAGTAAATTACTGCTTTACTAAGTACTACATTTTCTTTTACATTTGTTATTGCCCATCTGTCTCTGCAATGAAAGTAGCCTCACTTCAAAATATATGGTAATACGTGTTTGAAATGTCTGGTTTTGATCATAATTTGAGCACATTTTAACTGGCAATTCTTGTTTTGAGACAGTTAAAATGAACTCAAATTAAGATACATTTTGCCAAATGTGACCAGTGTTGACTTATTTTTGGAACTTTTTGCAGTGCACTCTGATATTTGCAGTTACATGAGATAACCTCAATAAAGTCTTGTTATAGAAATGATAAACAATTCTATGACTGCTTCATGTTTCTGTGCAGCTCCCAAAAGTGAAAAGCCACAAGACAAAGCTCGGATTTCTGTCAGAACGGCCGGTCTACAGCGCTCTCGCTCAGACGCTGGCAAAGATCACCACGGAGAATACCGCAAGCCTCCTTCAGGTCTTGTTAAACCCATGGCCGGAGCCTCGTTTGGTTACAGGAAACCCACAGCCACGGGCACTGCCACTGTGATGACAGCAGGGGGCGCCACTATCTCCACTGGGTCTTCTACCCTGGGGAAACCGCCCAAGTCCTCTGGGATCCCAGTGAAGCCAATAGGGGCACCAACGGGTCGGAAAAACAGCTTTGATGCCAGCAGCGAGCAGGGCTTTCTGGGGCCAAATGCTCGGAACAGTATCCAGTACAGGAGCTTGCCACGTCCGGCCAAGTCCAGCACGCTTAGTGTCATTGGCCGTCCCGCATCTCGCCCCCCAAGTGGCATTGTGGACCCCAGTCTGTTGAGTCTCAAACCGGTCTCCATTGGCAGCGCAGGGCCTCGGGTCAAAGAAGCAAGCAGCTGCGGCAGTAAAATGAGTAATCGCACCATGCCAGGCCCAGTGAACCAAACCGACCGGGAGAAGGAGAAGGAGAGAGACAAAGCCAAGGCTGACATGGACTGTGGTTCTCTCAAAGTAGAGGACGTTCTGTCACAAAGCACAGGGGAGCTTCCTCTGAAACTGCACGGCCTCCGGCGTACCAGCAGCAGCAAATACCCAGAGCTCTCATCACCCACAACACCAAGGTCTTTACACCTCATTTACCCTCTCTTTACTGTGCCCTCTCAGTGGTGACCATCTCCTGAATTAGCAGTAAAAAGATAAGCCTTCTTTCGTCCCTCAAAGGAAATTTTAATGTCATCGTAAAAGAAAAGGAGATCAAAAATACATGATCTATTATTTAAGATAATAGGTCATATAATAATAATAATGATAAAATATAAATCTGGAGCTATACTGTTCATTGATAAATCACTTATGATGTATACATTGTAGTCAACAGCATCTGGAGCTACTTACAAATGTTTGTATTGTACAGCAGAGAATATGACCAGAATAAACAAAGTATATTCGCTTTTTAATTTTCTGTGCACATTTCCTATCTTTTGCACAACTTAATAGTAATAAAAGCAGCAGGTAAAGTGACTAGTGGATTCTTTAGTTATCAGATTAGTGGAATATTTAATATTGTATTAATAAGAGAGCAGGTAAAGAGACAATATCTCACATCTATAGAGTAAACTTGTGGTGGATGGCAGCTGAAAAATCTGTTTTGGTAACTAGCAATTGTCACAAAGTTCAACATCATCTTCTATCAAATCATTACTGATAACTGTCTAAAAGTAGAGACAATACTCGAACAGTGGAGATGGTCAGCAGAAAGGACTTTAGAAAGGTTTATGAATATGATCACTATCAAAATAACATTTTAACCTTTATTTTTATCTTATTCAAATTTACTTGACGTAAATCACGTGCTGTCCAACTGCAACAGATTTCTAGAACATGAAGGCAACCTACTAATGGGTTGTTAACCTATTAACATGAAAATAAAATTGCTCTCGCTCTCGGTGCGGACAAGTTAGAAAAGTAACAATAGAATAAAGTATGCTTAGAAATAACTAAAAAAAATCTGCATAATTTCTAAAATTATGAAAATTATATACAAGTGCATTAAGTACACACAATAGGCATCATCAGTGCACTAAAGTGACAATAGCATAAAGTAACGATAGCACAAAGTAATGGTAACAAAATGTGACTTGTATTAAGTGACGGTAGCATAAAGTGACGGTAGCATGAAGTGACGGTAGCATGAAGTGACGTAGCATAAGTGACGGTATCATAAAGGTCAGCACTAGATCATATAGGGAATCGGGACGGAAGCGGAAGTAAATATAACAAACTACCTATTCGTGCCTAAACTTAACCAGCCATTCCCATAAAATAACCCCAACCCAGCCTTAACCCTAAATTTAACCATCTTAATCAGACGCCTAAAACTTAACCAGTCACCACTTAAGGACTTATTAGTCTAAAACTAGTATGATCGTTACTTCCGGTTTCGTCCCAATTCCGTATATGATCTAGTACCGAGCGTATCATAAAGTGACGGTAGCATGAAGTGACGGTAGCATGAAGTGACGGTATCATAAAGTGACGGTAGCATGAAGTGACGGTAGCATGAAGTGACGGTAGCGTAAAGTGATGGTAGCATAAAGTGACGGTAGCATAAAGTGACGGTAGCATAAAGTGACGGTAGCATAAAGTGACGGTAGCATAAAGTGACGGTATCATAAAGTGACGGTAGCATAAGTGACGGTATCATAAAGTGACGGTAGCGTAAAGTGACGGTAGCATAAAGTGACGGTAGCATAAAGTGACGGTAGTATAAAGTGACGGTAGCATGAAGTGATGGTAGCATAAAGGGCAGAGGACGTGGATTTTGTCACAGTGTTAGATTGAATATAACGTCGTTGATCATGATCGTTCCATTGTTCCATAGAATGAAATGTCTCGGCCGCCCCCCCAGCCTCGCTCACCTGGACAAGGTCAACTCCAACAGCCTGGATTCATGTGTGACCATCCAGGACCTCCCCTCCAAAGTGCCACCGTACTCCAAACTCCAGGACCTGGCGGGCTCTCACTGTGGAGGCCGGCTCGCTCCCAGCCCGGCGCCTGTGCTCCACCTGGACTCCTCCAGCTGCTACGAGACCCGCACAGGCTCCCCGCTGCTGTACCCCAAACTGTCAGGGATGCACCGCAGCCTGGAGTCCCTGCCACTGCAGATGAGTGTCGCACCCATCTCCAGGTTTGGCCCCGTGGACATGATGCAGGAGAAGGACCACCGTGGCACCTGGGGGTCGGCCACCAGAGCGTCACTGCAGGAGAGGTATTGGACACTGGACAAGCAATGATGTTATAATTCAACTTTAACCTGAGCAAATAGTGATGTAATATGAGGTTGCTTAAAAAGTGGATTTTATCTTAATCTGAATACATTCTGACTGTCTTCAAACGAGATTTGCCAATGGGACAAAGCCAAGTGTTATTTCAGGAACTGTTGCTTTATTTTCTCATTCCAAAGGAGACATTTGCATTGGGACGACAATGGCTCAGTTGGTAGAGCATTGGCCTTTGAGCCTGAAGGTAGTGGGTTTAAGCCCACCATAAGACCTATTTCACCATTAATGCCTGCTGTCATTGTGTTCTTGGGCAAGACTCTCAACCCCACTTTGCCTGAAGCCCATAGCTCTGACTGCCACCCTCCCGACCCAGAAATTGATTGAAAAATGGATGGATAATTTTGCATTGTCCCATTGGCATATCCATGCAGTCAAAATGTGCTCAATATTAAGATACATTTTTCAAAATGTTTGTAATTTTTTTACTTATTTTTAATCACTTTTTTGTCCAAATCACCTTGTAGATTGCTAAATTTTTCAATGTGCTGTTTTCTTTGTAGCTTGCAAACTGACAGAAATACGTTTCCGAAGAAAGGCCTAGAGTATGTTGATCTTTGTTATTAATGTCAATAAAATCTTGACTTTATTACTGTCTCTCATTGCCTCACTTTCTCATTGGTTCTTCTTTTCAGACGCTGCAGTTCAAGTCTGTCAGAGAGTGAAGGAAGCAAATCAGGCAGACGTCACTCTCACACCATCATGAGTATGACAGAGAGCCGCAGTCCGCCTCAGCTGCCCTCTCCCACTCGCCTGCACCAAACCAAAGCCAAGGCTCCGCTCACCAACGTGGGTGAGTTCTCGTCCAGTCTGACTTTCGGACTTTGACCAATGGAGAAAGCATCTGATGATTGATTCTATGTACAGATACACTGCAAAGAAGATACTGTACATAATGAGCTAGTGATTGCTTGAATTTAGTGTTTTGATCTTCATTTGAATACAAGCCATTTCATTATTTCAAGAGCTGTTGCTTTATTTTAGCCATTTCTTGTTTCTTTGGCAAATCTTGTTTTAAGGCAGTCAAAATGTGCTCAACTTTAAATCTATCTTATCTTATCTTAAGATACATTTTGCCAAATTTGCGACTCTTTTTGACTAACTTTTTGCGGAAATTTTAGTTGTAGACAATAATATAACACAAACCTTACCCATGCCTTGGCGATCTTTATTATGGAAAAAGCTATTTTCCTGTTTGTCATTGCCATGGCAACACGGTGTAAAATAAGTCCTACACCTTGTTGACTTTTTGGATTGGAATCTCATACTGCACCCAGTGGGAAAAAGTGAGAAACCTCGGGAGTCCCCACATTGAGGGAGGGATCCACTCCCACTGACCAACAGGCTGTAGATCCAGGACTTCTGCTCTGTCTCAGCCTGAACACACATTATAACAAAGGCCACAGGGAGGCGCTCACCTGTGGCCTTGGTCTGACCAGTCTCCCGCAGCGGAAACCTCTGGGGCCCCTGCCCCCACCCTACAACTAACTGTCATTATTATAACAAATGTTGTGTATGACTGATTTCATTTTAACTGTCATTAGTCTGCTGTGCTGAAATTTTAACGTATTAGTTTGATTTATTTCACCTGCAGAACACAATTTTCCATAGCTTTACACTAATACAGGTTTAAAAAGGGGTTGGGTTAAGTTTTTTGTTTTTTTTCCAACCCTGTCTCACAAAAAATGTCCTACTCTGGTTTTGAATGTGCATCTTGAGTCTTTCTGACACAAAAAATGTGTTGATTTTTCTTTTTATAGTGGCCCCAACTCCCAGTGGCCCCCCCAGGATATCTCGCTCAAACAGTATCGGCCCCCCCAGTGACTCCTGCGATCTGTATGGCACGTCCCCCCTGGGCAGCAGCATGTCCCTGGCCGACCGCCCAAAAAGTATGATGCGTTCAGGGTCTTTCCGAGAAGCAGGGGAAGATGGTGAGATTACCCTCTTTCTTTTTATCTTTGTATATACCTAAAAGTCTTGTCTTTTTACAGTTCATGGTTCTGTATTGTCTTTGGCTTCCAACGCCTCATCCAACTATTCCTCTGTAAGTTTGCTATGATCCGGTCACATTTTCATTGCTCGAACATCAGATTGTCCTTTTAGAAAACAAACAGAATTGTACTAATCTATAAAGGTGAGCTGTATGAGATGCTGGTTCCACATGTACTGTAGCAACTGTCCAAAGGGAGGGCTTTTGGTTGTTTGAAATATTGCGTTTTAGTAACACATTATAAGGTTAACAGCTTCAAATGTAACTCTATTTGTAGTAAATTAAGTAAAAAGGCAATAAACTGATCATTTAATTTGCGCGTTTAAACCCATCAGAGGGTCAGAGTTACATACAGAATAAATACGAAACAAAAAAGTTTAGTTAGCTCTTACTCATCTACCTCATAGAGTAAGTGTGAAAGCCAGATCCCGTCAGACCTGAAGCTAAGCAGGGTAGGGCCTAGTTAGTTCTGTGAAGTGCCAAACTGTTGTTGTGTCCTTAGGCAAGACACTTCACTCACCTTAGAATGAGTCTGTGTGTGTGAATGGTTTATTATGGTCGGAGGGGCCAATGGCAGATACTGGTTCCCTCGTCAGTTTGTCCCAGGGCAGCTGTGGCTACTCACTGAAAAATGTGATTTAGGAGGAGTAAAAACTTGCTCAAATTTGGCAAAATTGTATCTTAATTTGAGGACGTTCGGACTGCCTTAAAAAAATATTTTCCAATGGGACAAAGCAAAATTATCCTGTTTTTAAAATATACAAGAAATGTCTCCCTTGGACTGAGAATATAAAGCAACAGTTGAAATAAGACTAAATCAAGTGTTTTAAAAATGATCACTATTACCTCATATTTTATCCTGGTTTGCTGTGCAATAGTTTATTGTATGGAGTGAATGATCTGAGTGTCCAAAAAGCACTATATAAAACCGATGCATTATAGTATGTATCGGTATATAACCGATGCATTATATACCGATACATATTATTTTACAGGAAATAAACATACAAACATCATCATAGTTACTTTAATAAAATTACTCAGAACTGCTGTGTTTCTTGTGGATTTTTACCGTGCTGCTGTAGAATGAGGAGAGGATCCAGGGGGAGGTAAGATCCGTGTTCTGTCAGTGTCATTTGTCATTTCCTGTAGAAAGCCTCATTCATCTTATCAGTGAGTGGAGTGTGTCCAAATACATAACACTGCCAGTTCATCTAATACCATCAGTGTCCTGGCCTCACACTTTTCACTATAGTTTATCTGCATGGGAAAAATACCACCAACCACAATGTTTAACTTGCAGTGTTCTTTATGTTGTGCATGCCTGAATGAGGATTATGATTCAACTGCATCAGTGCCAAGACAAAAATGTTAACTTTTTTGCTGAATTATCCTGTGTCTTTTGCCTGCAGCAGATTCGCATGTTGAGGAGAGAGCTGGAGAATTCCCAGGAGAAGGTCGCAAACCTCACTATGCAGCTTTCTGCCAATGTATGTATATTTTTAAAACGTCTTTTATGTATAAAGTGGAATAATACAGTATTAATTGAATGTGTATCTGAACTCTCTGAACTCTAGACCCTATTTCTAACTGTAAATGTTCTAAAAAAAAAAAAAAAAAAAGCCAAAAAAAAGCAAATGAAACCCCTACATATAACAAACATGATACAATCTAATCTGAGCGTCGCCCTCTGGTGTCTGCTCTCGGCACATTATTCATAGTTTCTCTCCCTAACGCTCGCCTTCTTTGTATTCCTGGTTTGTTAACTCTTGGACTGCTTCCTCTGCCTGTGCTGACGGTCGAGCAGATAGGACAGGTCTGTTCACCTTCGCTGCTCACCATTTAGTCCAAACATAAACACATTTGACAAACATCTGTTTCATATCATGCTTATCTTTACATCTTTTGTTTTTCTTTATTCAAACAATCAAATTCCTCAGTTCATATCACTACAGTATAATGTCCTCAATCATTTCTGACATCATCTCCAGAAGTTTTATTTCCTTTTCTGTTCTGTTTCACTTCTGCTGAACACTAATCCTATTGTTCCTTTCAGGCCAACCTGGTGGCCGCTTTCGAGCAGAGTCTGGCGCTGATGACGGCGCGACTGCAAACTTTGTCCGTGTCGTCAGAGCAGAAGGTATGTTCCTCAGCTGTCGGTAAAGAGCACTATACCACATGTTCTTTACGTATGCAGCATGTTTATAAGACGTGTGATGCTAATCGCCTTGCCATGCTAAACGCTTGGTCCCTCAAACTGTAAGAAGAATGTGGGTCGCAGGTATGTGTGGATCTTGTCATCAGTTACTCATCGCAGCCGCTCATTCCCGGTGAAAGGAGATAGACATTCCACAATCGTCAGTCTTGTAGAATCGCAGTTCAGTTACTGGTCTGTGAGAGCTTACTCACGATTGCTTCTGCAGGACTATGAACTCACCGAGCTGAAGGACACCATTGACATCCTCAAAGCCAAAAACACAGAGGCACAAGAGATCATCCAGGGGGCGCTCAACACCCCTCCTGAAGTTGCACCCAAAGGTAGAAGTGGATTATTCTCAGTCCTGTTCATATTCAAGGATCTAATCTCTGTTTATGTTTTATATCTAAAGAAATGCCAATCGTGCGTCAAAACTCTTCAGAGAGCCTCTCCAGCCTCACCAGCACCACCAGTCATTCCAGTATGGGCAGTTTCAAAGAGCAGGAGGCCAAGAAGAAGAAGAAGAAAGGCTGGGTAGGGTCACTAATCTCATAGACTCCAAATCAGGATTTAATAATATAGAAACAGCTCCATTCTTTTGATATTCAATCTATTTCTATACAATCTTATGCTGGATTAAAGTAGTGAACACATTTCTAAAAAAAACCTTTTGCACTGCATGAAATAGATATTTTTTCCTTGTGTGGCTGTGAATCCCCTTTTGACTTGATTGTGTTATTAATGTCTCTGGTATGACTCTCTCCCTCACGCTGCCCTGATTTTTATTTTAGGTCTTTGAGGTGAGTGATGTTGCTATAGTAAATAAAACATCAACATCTTACCCCACAAGATGCATGTGTAGAATCATCATATCTAGTATTTTTATTATTATTACAAATATTATGGCTAAGACTTTTCTCAATCGCTGTGTTAACTGGGACGTTTTTTAACCTTATTCTCTTTATGGTCACCTAGTTACGAAGCTCCTTCAATAAAGCGTTCAGTAAGAAAGGATCCAAGCAGTCCGGCCCGTACGCTGACATTGAGGAGATTGCCACTCCAGAATCCTCGGCACCTCCTTCTCCTAAAGTTCGTCCTGACGCTGAAATCTCTGCACCATCAATGAAGTCGTCAGCTTCGGTCTCGTCCTCTGGGTAAAGGCCGCAACTACACTGCAAAAAGTGACTGAAAATAAGTCACAATTTGGCAAAATGTAGCTTAAATTGAGCCCATTTAGACTGCCTTAAAACAAGATTTGTAAATGACACTAAGTAAAATGAAATGTCTCCCTTTGAAGGAGAAAAAAAAGCAACAATTCTTGAAATAAGACTAAATGGCATTGTCCCATTAGCAAATCTTGTCAGAATGTACCCAAAATAAAACTCGATTCAAGCCTTTATTACTTCATATTTGATCATTTCTGCAGTGTGTCGCTACACAACAAGACTCTTCTAATTTTATCTGGTGTTGTTAGCCTGATGATCCTTGGCGCATTAACACTTGTCGTATGTTGTGTGTGTTGTGTGCATCCTCAGACTCTGTGATGATGGGGAGGGAGGGGAGGAGAAGGTGGTGTCAGATTTACGCTCAGAGCTGTGGGAGAAAGAGCGCAAACTGACAGACATCCGGCTGGAGGCGCTGAGCTCGGCACATCATCTGGAGCAGCTGCAGGACGCCATGACCAACATGCAGGTCTGGATCCACACTCAGTAACAAAGGGAGAACACGCAAATACATTTTACAGATGTCAATTGCCTTGTGCAGGTCTTAGGCCGTTTTGGAAGGCATCACATAGAAAAATAAACAGTGGTATGAAAAGGCGGAACTCTCACTCAATGTAGGCCTCCCCAAGGATTCTCACTTTTCCCCACTGGGTATTTCCTTGGGTCAAAAGACGGTGGTGATGACTCAGGACACTCGACATTCAATGACATTTATGTACATTAGTCATCTGCCCCTTATGGACTAATGGTTCGATCTGTTTTTATCATTGCATTTTCTTGTGTTTGAACTGTTGTGTACATGTAAATAGTACACAAAATGTAAAGCGCTTTGTGACTCTGGTCTGAGAAAGGTGCTTTATAAATAAAGATTACTTATTTACTTACTTTTGTAATTACTCAAAAGGCGGCGACTTTAAACAAGGCCTAGACTTCATCTTGGCAAAATTATCGATTAAGATACAACCTCAACCAAGGCCTATACCTGTATGATAGTTCACATGAAATATGGATTTAAACACAATACTCTCAAGTATTTTATAGTATGATAAAATACTACTAATTCTCTGATCTGTGTTGATACATTTCCTTATACATTTATATTTTTTCCTTTATAAATCGCTGGTTGTTTGGATAAGAAATGACACGGACTGTCCTGGCATGAAACCCATCAAACCTAACTCAACAAGACATGATCTGCAAAGAAGAATGGTCCAAAATACCTTTCACCAGAATCCAGACTTGTTTCGAGACTTTTTCTGCAAAAGAAGGACAAAAAAAATATTGCTAAATGTACACACATTCCTAATTTGGTTTAAATGATACAAACTTTATTTCACTTCTCCAATATCATAGTGTTTGTCTCCTTCAGTATATGATATATTTAACTGAAATTACTCATCCAAACAAGCAAAGATTTATAAATAAAAATCATGCAATTTGATAACCAAACTTGTGCATACCACAGGAGCCTGTCCAGACCTGTGGCGTTATGACAAACAGCTCGAACCTTCGTAAAGCTGTTGAAGTGACATTAAACATGTAGCTTTGTGTTTCTCAGAGGACGGTGGAGAAGTTGAAATCTGAGAATGACCAATTAAAGACTGGAGGTCTGTCTCCCTGTCCGTCGCCTGGGCCGTCCAGCTCTGCGTCCCAGTCTTCAGGTCTGACTGCACTGGGAAACTCCTCACCACGCCAGTCTGTAGCCATGCCCAAGAGCTACAGCAGGGGGCTGAGTGACGGAAGCTCAGGTATCTGCACAGGAGTAAATAAGTGTTCACCAACCTTTATGAAACCTATTTCATTAAGAACAATCACATGGTACACCACCAGCGGAAACTGATGCAAAGATTAAACTCTGCAGCCTTTATTGACAATCCAAAGTCACCACAATGTATTATACAGAAAGTCAAACAAACGCAACAAAGCATTTCTGGTCTAATTCCTTTTGAGATTATTTGGCACTCTCACTGCAAAAAGTGATGAAAAATAACTTGAGCACATTCTGACAGCCTTGAAAGAAGATTTGACAATAAGACAAGCACAATTATCTTGTTTTAAAAATACACATGGCTGCCTTGGAATGAGAAAAACAGTGGCCAAGGGCTTTGTCCCATTGGCACATCTTGTTTTAAGATTGTCAGAATCTTCTCAAATTAAGATAAAAACCAAAAGTTCAAGATGAGGGCTGCAGTGGGTGCTCATCAGGATTTGCAGTGGCAAAAACACTGGAAACTTAAGAGGAAAGATCCGAGGCACTCTTGACATTTTAAGAAAAATCTTTTATGTTGAAGACTACAAAGTGCACTTTGTGGTCTTGACACATGCCCTGAGGATGGCCCTACGTGGCCGAAACTTGTAGCACATCCCTGTACATTAAAGGATTTGTATTTAAAGGTCAAAGCTGCCTCTGATTTTTCCTTTTCCTAGGATAAAACCTCTCGATTCAAGCATGCCTTTTTGCAGTGTATGTGCATTATGTATTAACACATATTTAACTCTATTGTGTCCAACATTGCAGACGTCTTCACTTCAGACTCTTTTAGCCAATCATCCCAAAGAGATGATCATCGAGTTCGAGTGGTGGTTTCTGTTGCAAATCTACATGTTTTTAAAGATGTAAGTTTTAAAGTTAATGTAACTAAACTAAACTTATACGTGTGAGATTTTTGAACTCATTGTAAATGTTATGGACAGGATGTGAAGCAGCAGGACTTCTTCATTGGCACCGTCAGATTAAATGGTCGGATGGACTGGACCATGTTGGATTCTGCTGTCAGCCAGGCTTTTAAGGTGATCTCTTACTATTATTTAACATGCATGGATATTGGTCATCTGCCCCTTATGGACCAATACCTCTATGTGTTTTTTATCATTGCGTTTCTTGTGTTTGATTCTCTGATCTGTGTGGGAAAATTTCACAGCTTTGTAAAGTCCTCCGGGATAACTACGGCTATACAAAAATACATTGAATTGAACTGAAATTTAATTGGATTGATTATACACTGCAAAGAGTGATGAAACATTTCTCAGATTTGGCAAGATGCTTTAATTAATCGCATTCTGACTGCCTTAAAGCAAGTTATGCCAATGTGACAAGAAGAATGATCATGTTCTAAAAAGAAAAAAGAAATGTTCAACAGTTCTGAAATAACACTAATGCCTTGTTTTAAATGGCTTGTTATTCAAATTAAGACCTCCTTGGTATTATTTCATTCATACTTTGAACCTTATTCAAGTCTCTGGTAAATCGATATGTAAAGAAGCTAAAGGACACTTAATCCACAGGTTTACATCACAAGGGTGGACCCCACTTCCAGTCTGGGCCTGTCCACTGACTCCATCTACAGTTATAGCATCGGTCATATCAAGAGGCTACTGGGAGGAGACCATCCAGAGACTCAACCATCTCGCTGCATGTCCCGCGGTCCGAACAGCATCACTGTGGCCCTGAAAGGTATTTACTCATGAGCCTGGCTCCTGTACAACGAACAATGAGGACTAACCAACACTGCCAACCTGACCTCACGTGCCTCTGTGCAATAACTTGAACTGATGTCAGAATGTGCAATATAGAGCCACATGTGTTCATTGTCACTTTAATGAGTCACTTTGTCCCATTCCCTCATGCTGCTAACATGTACAGATGTATACAACTTAATATTTATTTCACTGGAATATATACTTGCTTTGATATTATGCTAAAGTTGGAGATGTTTAGAGTTATTGTTCATTTATCTTGTGCTAACCCTCATATTTTTTTCTGTTTTAAGGCTGTCAGAATTAAGACAGTTTGCAGAATTTGAGACAGTATTGACTTATTCTTTGTCAATTTTTGCAGTGTAACTCACTAAGAGTAAAGTATAAAATCGCTGACTTTAGACAAATAAAAAAGCAATTATCAAATCCTGTAGTGCAGCAATATGTATACATCTGTAAATGTTAGAGTACGTGTGTCTGTGTGTAAGTGTCTGGGACAAAGTGGCCGTAAAGTGACAGTAACACATGTCTGTCTATACACTTTCTATTTTGCACATTCTGACAATAATCAAATCAATATTGCACTGATGAGCATGCATTTTGACTTTCTGAATAAAAGAGTTTGGGCAGAGAATATTAATATCATAACAACATTGCAAATAGAGCGGTACAAATCGGTTCTGGTAACACACTTCACTGGAGAAAATCCGAGGCTGCATTCCCACTTCACTCCTCCATGTTGAAATGTCTGGTGCACGGTGCTAGAATAGCTGGTAGCGCTGGGGCAGTTCTCCGGGCAGAGCTCTCAGAAACCTGATCTTCTCCAGAGCCAGATTCAGCAGCTCGACTCCTCGCAGACTCATGGGCCTCAAATGGTGAGAAGCAACACTAGACGCCTCTCGCTCGGTGGGGGAGCAATAAGTCGCTATACTCGATGCTTAGGTATTTTTAGAGCCACATATTTGAGCACCATGTTGCTTATTGAGGCTTTGCGAGGTGAAAGAAATACTTCCCATCCAGCGTCTTCCAACAGATCTGTCCAAAATCAAATCTAAGTTTAAGTTTAATAGATCCATTATTCGTCCCACATTGGAGAAATTTCAGTGTTGCATCATTAGTGACAGAACAGTAGGAATGAGGAGCACACAGCACAAGATAAATGAACAAAAAATCTATACTAACATAAAATAAAAGTAAAATCTTAAGCCTAATAAAGAAGCAAGTATACATTCTCTAATTTTAGATAAAGAAACAAGTATAAAATCTCTAGTTTTTGCATAATAAAGAAACAAGTATAAAATGTGTAACTTTAAAAGTAAGAAGTAAGTATACAATTCACAAATACAAACAGCATTACCATGTCCTTAAGCTGAAAGTCTGTGTTTTTTGTTTTAGGCTTGAAAGAGAAATGTGTGGACAACTTGGTCTTTGAAACCCTTATTCCCAAAACCATGATGCAGCACTACATCAGTCTGATCCTCAAACACCGCCGGCTGATCCTGTCCGGTCCCAGTGGCACCGGGAAGACCTACCTGGCCTCTCGCCTGGCCGAGTACCTGGTGGACCGCAGCGCCCGCGAGGTCACCGACGGCATCGTTATCAACTTCAACATGCATCGTCAGTCGTGCAAGGTAAATGATCCAGGACACTCCACATTCAACCACATTTATGGACTTTATCTACATTTATGAGGGTCTCTGCCCCTAATGGACCAATGGCTCTGTGTTTTTATATCATTGCATTACTTGTGTATTAACTGTTTGATTTGACGGTTTTGTAAAGTCTTCTCAGATATCTACACTGCAAAAAGTGTTAAAATAGGTTGAAAGTTGCTCAAATTTGTCAAAATGTATCTTAAATTGAGCACATTTTGACTGCTTCAAAACAAGATTTGTCAATGGGACAAAGCAAAAGTATCTTATTCAAGAAATGTCTCCCTTGGAATGAGAAAAATAAAGCAACAGTTCTTGAATAAGGCTAAATGGCTTTGTCCCATTGGCAAATATTGTTTTAAGACTCAAATTTACTCAAATTCAGACTAAAACCACTTGATTCAAGCATTTATTACCTTATATTTTCTCATATTTTGCAGTGATATTGTTGTGATTTAGAGCTATGCAAGAATAAATTGAATTGAATTGAAATACATCAGTGTTTGTTCATTTCATTCCATTACAATATAACTAACAAACACATTCTCTCTTCGATAGGATCTTCAACTTTATCTTTCAAACCTTGCAAACCAGATTGATCGAGAAACCGTGACGTCAGAAATCCCCCTGGTGGTGATTCTGGATGATATTCACGACACCGCCTCGCTCAGTGAACTTGTCAATGGTGCTCTTACTTGTAAATACCACAAATGGTCTGTATTTAAAGCCTAAATGTTTAAAATGTGATTCAAAAACATATGATTAACATTTGTGCCAATTCTTTACAGTCCCTACATAATTGGAACAAGCAATCAGCCAGTCAAAATGACTGCCAACCACGGCCTACATCTTAGTTTCAGGTACTGTCCTATAATCAAAGAGTTCAGAGTGAAATCTCTGAATCTAAGCAGGGCAGGGCTTGGCTAGTACTGTGATGGGAGACCTCTATAGTGCTAAACTGTTGTGTCCTTAGGCAAGACACTTCACTCACATTAGAATTAGTCTGTGTATGAATGGTTGGTTGGAGGGGGAGGGGTCTATGGCACATACTGGTTGCCTCACTTCTGTCAGTGTGCCTCAGGGCAGATGTGGCTACTGAATTAGTTTGTCACAACCGTGTGCGGATTGAATGAATAATTAATAATGTGAAGCGTCTTTGTAAAGCCATGTCACTCTAACAAGACACTTGTGATATTTCAGGATGGTCACTTTCTCTAACAATGTAGAGCCTGCCAACGGCTTCTTGGTCCGCTACCTGCACAGAAAGATGATGGAGTCGGAAGATGAGAAGAATTTGACCAACGAGGACCTGACGCGGGTCCTGGACTGGTTGCCCAAACTGTGGTATCACCTGCACACATTCTTGGAAAAGCACAGCACATCGGACTTTCTCATAGGTTTGAACACCTTCCTACGTCGAAATACATGTATTTAAATCACAAAGGCTGAGGTCGTTGTCCATGTTCTCCTCAGGCCCCTGCTTTTTCCTGTCCTGCCCTGTCACTGTCGACGAGTTTCGCTCATGGTTCATCGACCTTTGGAACCATTCTATTATCCCGTACCTGCAGGAAGGAGCCAAAGATGGGTTCAAGGTGATTATCATTGGAAATTGCCAGTTATTGTTATATCTATGAACTCCTTTGATTTGTAACCCATCTGACTGTGGAAGAGGATCCCTCCCTCAAAATCTCACTTTTTCCCACTGGGTTTTTAGAGTTTTTCCTCGCTGATGTAGGAAGGTCTAAGGACAGTGGTGATGATCCAGGACACTCCACATTCAATGACATTTATGGACATTATAAATACTAACGGACGTAATGACGCCTATCTCTGTCATTGAAACTTATCTGTCATCACTTTTACCACACGCCGTCTTTTTTAAAACGGCCGTGAATGTCCCCTCCCGCAGGAAAATGTGAAAAAAAAACATTTGCGCATGTGTTAGCCGGCACGAGTGCATTCAAAAGTCCATAGCAGCTAAGTTAGACTGGTCCAAAACAAAATATTCCCTTCAGTATTGACAGCACTTGGAACATAGCTTTGAGCCATGAGCCAACTTTTGGATCGGGCTGTAAAACCGTTCTCGAGAGGAAAAAAGGCGCAATAAGAATTCATTGTATTTGCTTTCCTGGTACAACACCACCGCCAAGGAGTCAGATTATAAGCAGGTCTTATGAGCTGGGACCCGCCCAGATACAAAATTGAATTTGAGTTCCCTGGTGTGCTGTGTTTTTGCAGGTCCATGGGCAGAAGGCGGTGTGGGAGGATCCGGTGGAGTGGGTGAGGGGGACTCTGCCTTGGCCCTCAGCCCAACAGGACCAAGCTAAACTCTTCCACTTGCCCCCACCAAACATCATCTCCAGCAGTCCAGGACAGGCCTGCGACGAGAGGCCCCACAAGGAAACTCCACCCAGCTCCATGGAATCTGACCCACTGGTAACACAGCCGAGCTTTCCTTGTTTTGAAACACTGGTGAATGTTCTTTTAATGAGAATCTTTGTCCTTGTTTTTGTAGATGGCAATGCTTTTAAAACTTCAAGAAGCAGCCAATTACATCGAATCCCCTGATAAAGATGACCCACACTTGCCTAAATTTTAAATGGACGCTAATATTTAGCCTTTTAATAAGCTCTTAATGGTTTGTGTGGTCCAGAGAAGATGTGTAATTACTTCATGATTGACTGTTTCCATACGTCACACGCCGTTGTTTTACAGCATCGTTTTAATAGTTGAAAAGTAGTGTATTTTAGACACATATGCTTGTTCCTTTTAACTGGTGCTCATCCGTCACAGTACTGTAGAACGTACAGTACAAACCTAGCCTGGCCTTATCCACCCTTAAACTCAGGTCAATTATCATTTCCCTACATGTACGCCTGGGTCTGTTCTTAATGGCTGCAGTTACCTCGGTTGAATTGGAAATAGCTGCGAATGCTATAGTAAAGGAGGCTCTTCAATCCGTTCTGGTTCGGCTCAAAGTATCAAGAAATTGAAGCCGGAGCAAGAGGAATGTTAAGCATAATTCATTGCTTGCAAAGATGTTGTGGCTCTGCTCCTATGGGCTCCGTTTGTGGCAAATGAGGTTGCTAAAGCTAGGCTATATGCTAAATGCGTCACTCACTCGGGCGCATTACGCAATTGAGCAAATCCAGACCCAAGTACGAAATGAAATGAGTTAGCATGGTATGGTAAGACCAGGCTAGTACTAACCAGACCATTCTCTGAGTCTGTGGTGCAGAACAAAACCCACAAGCATTATTTCACTTTCATTTTTTACTGATAATTACCTGCTTAGTTTTGTAGAGGAAGATGACAGCAAATCAACACATATGCAAACTTACAATACAGATCATGTTGGTGTAGAAACAATGCAATGCCTTATAACAAGTCCGCAGACTTCTGGTGCTTTCTCCAAACATCTCCTCTTCAGTGACGCTGTCAGACTCACATTTACAAATTGGAGCTTTGTGTTTTTGTTCTGCACAGTGGTGTAGTGTCTCGTCATCTAAAACAAACTTGGTTATTTATAAATGATAAACTCCACCCTCTGAAAATGTGTGAAACACGGTAATTCGTCGACAAAATGAAGACGTTAAAATCTCATCTTTTTGAAGTCTCTGGGATTTGTACTTAATTAAAACATTCCTTGTTCCCTATAATGTAACGTTCAAACTTTATTGTCGATCCCCCTGAAATAAAGCAAACAATAGTTTATTTATAAAGTATTTACGGACATATTTTTGTTGCAGGACTCGCAACATTATACCAAATACGTGCGTTATGTTTTGTTTCTCTTTGAATGTATCAGCAGTTTTACACCGTATCGGACATTGCTGAAGGTGCTTTTTCAAGTCGCCTTATCAAAAGCCACTGGTGACAAACTCAGAGCAAATTTAAGCTACCTAATCTCCACTCGTTCACCTCCATATCCAGTCTGTCGCCGAGTCGAACCACCAGTGTTCGTCGCCCATCACCAACATCCGGTTACATCTGGTGCTTTTGATATTTCAACCGTGTCTGTGTCAACATTGAATCGAACTGAACAAAGTTTGACGTTGTAGGTGTGAAGTAGAACCAGGATATTTGGGGATGTGTTGTAGACGCATATAGTGACGTCCCGTGAGTGACCCTATGCTAGATACATGCTAACGCTGTAGCCTCTTTAAATACAGTGGGAAAAGCACAGATGCTAATGAAAACTTTTTGTATAGAAAAAAAAAAAAAATTCAAAGAAGAATATTGTCAAAGTGGACTCTGTGGTGTCATCCATTCATCCTTCCTCATCAGGTTTAAGTGCTTTCTTAGGTGACATTCATTTACAGGAAGTAACATTTTATAGTTTGACAAAAAAAAGTGTGTATACGCTTATGCTTTTTGCTATTGCACTGTGCTTCGACTGGCTTCACGTGGGTCACTTTGATAATGTTCCCGAGGTGTGATTGACAAAGTACCATGCGCCAGAGCCAAACCAGCCACACAAGTGTTTCTGAACTGTAAAAAACAATGAACAAGTAAAGAATCGATGCACATTTCACAACTTACACTGTAAAAAATGAGAAAATATGAAAATATTGCTTGAATTGAGCGGTTTTTATCTTCATTTTAGTTTATTCTGACTGTTAAAACAAGATTTGACTACGGGACAAAGCTTTTTAGTCTTAATTCTAGAACTGTTGCTTTATTTTCTCATTCAAAGGAAGACATGTATTGTATCTTTTTAAAACAAGATCATTTTGCTCTGTCCCATTTGCAAATTCTTGTTTTAAGGCAGTCAAAATATGCTCCAATCAAGATGCATTTTGGCAAATTTTAGCAATGTGTTTGTCTAATTTTTCATCAATTTTAGCAGCGTAGGCCATTATCGTCATATCATTCCATCTCATTGTTGTTGTGCCTGTGACATCAACTGTTGGGTTGAGGGACTATGCAGCAACTTAATACTGGTGCTAGCAAGCAACAGAAATCTAAAAAAAAAGGCATGTTTTCTTCCACTGGTATATCTAACTATACACCGTCCCAAGGAAATATGGGAGGCATCATACATTGTTTATTACAAATTGAAATGATTGTTAGCACATAAGAGACAGGATTCTTTTTTATTTTTTTGTACGCTCATAACCAGGGTATAATACAATGCAAAATATGATAAAATATGAGGTAATAATTGCTTGAATAAAGTGGTTATTATCTTAATTTGGGAACATTCTGTCTTAAAACACAATTTGTAAATGGGACAAAGCCATTTAGTCTCATTTCAATAACTGTTGTTTGTCCCATTGGAATATCTTGTTTTAGGCCACCAGAATGTGCCCAAGTCAAGATGTATCATGCCAAATTTTTGCAATTTTTGACTTATTTTTCATCACTTTTTGCAGCGTATGCAGTAGATGGTCCAATAAGAAAATATTGGAAATATGTTGTCAAAGCTTGTTCTAGGCTGGAAGGTTTTTTATGTTGTAAATGCATGTAAACTCGCTGTGTGCTGAGACAAAGTATGTATTGAAGAGGAAGGTCATATGTAGAAATGTTTCCTTTGTAATACTCAAAACATTTGATATTTCTTTATTTTTTTCTTAAAACTTGTTTCTAAAATGTTATGTTATTTTGTAAATGGAAATGGAATCATTGTAAAGACTGTAAATATGTAAGCACTGGATGGATGCAGCTACAATCATAGTGAAGAAAAGAAAATGGTCCAATGCAGGGATAAGTCATATGCATCACCCATCGATCACTGTTGGCTGAAAACAATAAATTACATATTATATTTATTTTGTTGGATTTCTTTTTTCATGATGTTTGAAGGTTAATTATTAGTTTTTATTATTTTGTATTTATTTATTTTATTTCAGGCAACGCAGGAGCATCATGTTTGTTTTCAAATATATAAAGACACATCTAACAATCAATTTGCCTGAAAGCAAGAGAGAAGAACTTAATTAATCCCCCCATTATTCATTAACCCATTTGCTTTTCTGCTTCTGCAAACATAAGGTTATATAGGAGGATACTGGCCTCCTCAGAGGGAACGCCTATTAAAACGTTTCTTGCAAATTACTGATTGACAATTAGGAGGACCAACAGTAGATGATCCACCGGGAAGAAAACCCTTCCATATCAACAATAAATACAATAGAGAGAGGTAAACAAAACCAGTGATGTTAAGACAGCAAGAATATCAACAATGGTAATAAATATGTACCAACAATGGTAATAAAAATATATATTAATATTAATTACCATTAGTAATTTTGATGGTAATTAAAAAAAGATACCATTGGTAAAGTTAGGAATACACCTTGCAACCATGCAACCTTCCATAAATGTGTGCTTGACTTTTCACTTGTTTAGAAAAGTCCATCGCAAGTACAGTTTGAGTCTGTGAAACCAGTCATGGTGGTCTTGTCCTTCAGCAGTCCCTCTCTGTTACAGGGGGCGGGGCCTGGACCGTGGCCCACATAAAAGCCCCTTACACCCCCTGGAAAGATGGCATTGGATTCACTTCACGGACTTTACTAGTTGGGAAGTAGCTGCAACCGCCAACATGCCGTCCAAGCCTGCCCCCATCAAGAAGGCTCCCAGCAAAGAACCAGCCAAGAAGGAGGAGGCCCCCGAGCCCGCACCTGCAGAGCCCGCACCCGCAGAGCCCGCGGCCGCAGAGGAGGCTGCACCCGCCCCTGCGGAGGAAGCACCTGCCACGGCCGAAGCTGCACCCGCTGACGGTAATACACACCAGGCCCGGCTCTCTGTCCCTGGATGAACCGCGGAGGAGCTTTCATGAGTCTAAAGCATGTTCTCTCTGGATGTTCATGTCCTTGGTCCAAACTGAGGACGCGGTAAGTGTGCGCGCGCTCGGAGCCTGAGAGAAAAGCGCGCTCCCGGGAGGCTGGCGTGCGCACTCAGGTCTGAAGTCGCGACATGGATTTGGAAATAAGAATCAGAAGTCTTCCTGATGAGTGTTCTAATGGTCAGACGTGCCGTGCCGTTTGTTGCACTAACTGCAGCTGCAGTTTATAAGGATACATTATTAAAACACTAACCATTTCTTCCTAAAGCAACTTAAATATTGTATCAGTGTTTCCCAAAGCAGAGCATCAGAGGGATTTCAGGGGGACCCCAAAGATTATCCAATACATACAGTAAATCCTACTATTGCATCAACATTTGTGTTAGTATTTCAAGTAGGTTCAGTTTATACGTAGAAATCAAACATGAGGCTAAATAGTGATAATAATAATACATTTTCTTTATATTGCACCTTGCTACATTGATTAAAATACAAAACCCCATACAACAAAACAAAGAAAAAGAATCAGAAGTACATAAATACATCAAAAAGAAACATGGATAAATGAATTGGTCCATTGTTGTAGAGGGTTAATTGTTATTTGAGGGTTATCAGATTGTTAGTAGAGTCTTTGATCATTCAAGAGGCTGAAGATTTTGGGAATGACTGATCCCTGTGAACTTCTGTCCTGACCTCTAACATCAGCTGTTGCCGCTGAAGGATGCATTGAACCTTGTGCTGATTGCAGGTTACACGCCCTTTCAACTATTTCAGTATTTGGCTTGTTAGTTATGGTTCAATGCTTCTATATTATATCATTTGACTTGCCCTGATATTGTGGCATCATCAGAGCTATCTTTTTCTCTTTGATCCAACTTCTACTCGGGTTCTTGAGCGTTTCTTTTGGGCATAAATGAAAGAGAAGCCGATTTTTGTCAATGTCTAACTCCTTTGACATGTTGCCTGCTGTTGCTTTAACATTTGACAAACCTACTGCTCCTGCTGCAAACTGATCTGCTACTTCTGAGGGTAAAACTTGCTTCTTCGTCAAGGTTTTTATGATGACTGCTTCTAATGCTATAGGCTCCTTTCCTCTCACACTTTTATTATCTCTCTACTCTTATAACAATAATAATATTAATATTGATCTTCAGTGCTTTGAACTAATTGTATGATATGCCTGTGTGTGTCCTAACTTCTAACGCCAGCTGCCCCGGCTGCCAAGGAATCTACAGAAGCTTCAGCTGAGGGTAAAATGCTTTTTTGTAGCGCTGTGAGAGCACATATACTTTGTCTGACAGTATGTATATATGTATATAAATGGTAAGCCTATAATAGTATTTGTCTAGTAACATTGTCTTGCATACAGCTTATGGATGAAGGCTATTTAAACACTATCTCAACTCTTAATATTTCCTTTACAGCTTCTTATATGTATTTAATAACAAAGTAGACGCTTAGATGTGATTAACTTTTACGCACAAATGTGATGCCTGTGTTCTAACCTTTAACATCAGCTGCTGCGCCTGCTGCGGAGGAGACTGCTGAGGCTCCTGCTGAGGGTAAAACGCTTGTGTATAGCATTCATCATGATATGCATTGCTCTGTAAGGCTAACGATACAGTACAACTTTACTTAATTTGATATATTCATTACAATATGGCATTATATATGTTTTTTACATATTAAACTCTATACAAATTATACTTTGGCATTTAGTGATTTAGTGACATCATGTCTGATGGTAAAACGCTTGTGTATAGCATTCATCATTATATGCTTATTAACAATACAATAGAATCACTTTTGACACCTTCTCTTTTGTATCATTCAGATACTAAGAATGATCCTTTTGAATTATTTGCTTATATTTGCTTCAGTCTGATGCCTGTTTTCTAACTTTTAACACCAGCTGCTGCCCCTGCTGCAGAGGAAACTGCTGAGGCTCCTGCTGAGGGTAATAAAGATGTATTTATTTTAGTATAACTGCACCTGTATTTCTCTTACCTCTTTAGACTGAGAAACGACAAGATAACCGTTGCTAAAACTCTTCTCAAAGCAAATTGCTAATCGCTAATACTTTGTAACGCTTATCTTTTCTAACCTCTAATCAGCTGCTGCCGCTCCCGCTGCAGAAGGATCGCCTGAAGCTCCAGCCGATGGTAAAAATAATAAGTCCTGAGTCTCACACCTGTCATATTTTTTTGCGATGATCATAAGGTTCTCATGGTAAGATTAAAAACAGCCACTAATCTCCACACCATGGTCCAGTGCTGTATGAGTAATAAGCCCTAATAATAATTTGTAAGACATCTCATCTGCTTAACTACACTAATGACTAATATCTAACATTTAAAATTAGCTCCCGCGGCTGCTGCAGATGAAGCTGCTCCTGCTGCTGAGGGCGAGGCACCGGCCGAGGGTAAAGCATTACACATATCTGCTTATAGTTCTCTGCTAGAACTAATAAGAACATGCTATATTGTCCATACTGAAATATTACACGGCAAATAGATCCAATATGAGGTTAAAGATGCTTGGATCGGGATGTTTTTTATCTTAATTTGACTACATTCTGACTTAAAACAAGAATTGCCAATGGGAAAAAGCCATTTAGTCTCATTTCAAGAATTCATTTTCTCCTTTCAAGGGAGACTTTTAATGTATCTTTTTAAAACAAGATCATTTTGCTTTATCCCCATTGGCAAATCTTGTTTCATGGCGTTCAAAATATACTCAAACTATGATACATTTTGAAGATTTTTAGCCATTTTTGACTCTTTCTAATCACTTTTTCCAGTGTACAAAGGGAAATTGTGTTATGATGTAGCACTTTACAGCACTTTGCCACAATAATGACGTTGTTTCGTTGTGTGGTTAGGTGAAGCTGCCCCTGAGGAACCCAAGGCACCCACCCCCCCTCCACCTCCACCCAAAGGTATCTGTCTCCTTTCACACTTTCTTTGCGTTATCAAAGATTGTGTGTCTGTGTGTAACCTGGGCTCTCTGGGTCCTCTCTCTCTCTCTCAGAGCCCACCAGCGCTCCCCTGGATCTGTTCATCGAGGACAAGAATGACACTTCTGTTACCATTATCTGGAGCCAGCCGGAGGTGGTGGGAGCCGCTGGTCTGGACGGATACACTATTGAAATTTGCAAAGATGGAAGTAAGTTCTGAAGAGAGTAGAACCATAGGAGGATCTTTTGTCTCGTTAGGTATTGCACACCAGCGAGCTCCTGATGAGGTGCAATAGTGAGGGGAACGATTTAAAGAAACAAGAAAGCATTGCACATTCAAAAATAGATCAAAGAATGATTTATTTTCCGTGTTAAGTTTCCAACACTATACAGGTCATTCTTTTTCTCTTATTGGAACATATTTGCAAGAGTCCCCAGTGTGTACCAGAAAAGTGTCAAGAATAAAACAAGCAAAAAATTCAGGAAGCAAATCGGTCAACAAAACCAATTTCGATACAAAACACGCAAAATGCAAAAACATTTAAGCGCTTTGTTGTTTGTTTTGTGATTCAAAGAAAGAGAAAATATGATTGATGAAGGCTTTATCGGCCCAAACGTGATCAAATAAAACTTTTTTTTCGTTCTGTTTTTCGAGTGTGTAATGCTCTCTTGTTTTGGAATGATAGAACTTATCGTCATCATTAAAATTCAATTGATTTTTGTATAGCCATAAATCCCGACTGCGGTTATCACGGACAACTTTACAAAACCAAACATTTGCTAAAACAAATCAGAGAATAAAACAGTTCAAACACAAGAAATTAAATGATGAAAAATTTCCATAAATGTGTTTGGTTCTTCTATACCAGACAATAGTTAGCGATGTTATTACCTTAATGTGTTACAACGGTATAGAAAACATATATACTTTAATTTTTACTAAGACCAGATGGACCTTCCTAAACATGTCCATAAAAGTTGATACAGTCCATAAATGTCATTGAAAACATTATAATTCATCTTAAACCAAATTCCCATAAAGGCTTAGTACACTTAGGTTTAAGATACTCCCAAATGCTTTTTGAGTGGTCTGCGAGACACGTGCATTTTTCTTTTTATTGTGGGTCAGCAATATCAGCTGCAGCTGTCCCTGAAGTGTCAGTCCCAGAGTTATATCACCGGCTTCCTGACTTCTCCCTACAAGGAAAGGGGCATTTCAGGAGCTCTCACCCAGGTCCCACTTTTAGACTCTGCAGCTCGTATCAGCTCCACTTAAGTGTGACTATCTACCTTACCTTAATATGCTAAATCTGTTAGTATTATTATAGTGTGAGAAGTTCAACTGCCAAAAATGAGAAAATATGAGGTAATAATGCTTGAATCAAGTGATTTTTATCTTAATCTGAGCAGATTTTTAAAACAAGATTTGCCAATGGAACAGAACCAAAAGGGATCTTTTGAAAACAAGAAAATGTTGCCTGTCAGAACGTAAATGTTTCACTTTTTTTTTTATCATTTTTGCAGTGTAGCATCAGAGATTGGGGTTGTACTTAATTATTTTGTTTATCCACCCATCCATTTTCTACCCTTTAATCCATTTCTGGGTCAGGGGGGTGGCAATCAGAGATGCCACCCAAGTCTCATAGCACCAGCCCCTCACTGACCCTCTGCAGGTGGTGAGTCCACAGGAGGACGGCTGCTCTCTGAGTGTGAGCATAGCCTTGATCTTTCAGTTGGGGCTTTGGGCAAAGTGGGGTTAAGTGTCTTGCCCAAAGACACAACGACAGCAGTCAGTGGGAGTCAGTGGAGAAGGAGTAGAGGTGGGAATTGAACCCACGACCTTCAGGCCTGAAGGCCAATGCTCTACCAACTGAGCTACTGTCGCCCCTGTTATTTTGTTTAGTTGTTTAGAAAAAAAAGGTTGTTTAGAAAAAAAAGGTAATTCGATATGGGAGCTTTATACATTTGACAAAAGTAAATTTTAATTTAAATTGTATTTTTGTATTGTCCCACATCACACCAGCAGTAATCTCAGAGGACTTTACAGAACCGTTGATTCGTCAACACAGATCAGAGAATCAACAGTTCAAACACAAGAAATGCAATGATAAAAAGCTCAAGTGCTGCCCCTGGAGACCATCTTCATAGAGTGGACGTGTTACACATTGGGTTTTTCCATTAAACATTTTTTGCCATTTTTTTTATTTCATTCTGCAGTCAATGATCCAAATCAATGACTAAACTGGTTTATTACTATTTCAATCATTCATTAGTTGTGGTTAATTGATCAACGTGTTACATTGTCATGATTCTTACGTGATGTACTGTATCTTTGAACGTCATGGTCAAAGTAAGTAACTAATCTTTATCTTTATGGCGCATTTCACTGCAGTCCAAAGTCATACAAAGTGCTATACAATTTTGGAATACCAATATTTTTTTTTCATTCTCTCCACACACAGCGATGACAGAAGCGAGATGCCGTGACGACCACAATCCACTCACCCTCTCATCACATTCATTCCTAGTGTACATACAAACTTACGCAGACACAGGGAGAACATGCAAACTCCACACACCCACACACAGACACAGACAGACAGGCCCTGTTTAGAGGTGGCGCCAAGTCTTTTTCTTCTGTCTAATTTTGCCGTTTTCTTGTCTGTTCTTTGCAGCAGAGGACTGGAAGGCAGTCAACGAGGATCTGCAGAAGTCTTGTCGTTATGTGATTAAGAACCAGACCACCGGAGACCGTCTGAAGATCCGTGTGGTGGCGGTGAACGAGGGCGGACGCAGCCCTCCCGTGGCTCTGCCCGAGGCCGTCCTGGTCAAGGAAGTCGCCGGTGAGACCTTAGAATCACACAGTTCGAGTTATTTAATCTCAATTAAATTCAATGCATTCTTGTATCGCCCTGAATCAAAACGGTAGTTATCTCGGCAGACTTTACAAAACCGTTGCATGCGCCAACATAGACCAGAGAATTGAACAGTTCAAACACAGGAAATCCAATGGTTATAAAAAAAAATTGAAATAAAGACATTGGTCCATAAGGGGCAGATGCAAAAACAGTGCCATGGAAACATATCGAATTATTTTCTCTTTACCAAGTGAACCTTGTGAAAAGCCGAATCTGTTTTAGTGCCATACAAATACATTTACACCCCTTCTTGTGCAAATTCCTTCAAGCGTACTGCCATTAACAGAACACGTTGAAGATTGTGACTGGAGGAATACAATATTTGGACCACATTTCAAAACAGAAATATCTGTTTTTGCATATAACTCTTCAAATCTTGAATGTCGAGTGTCCTGGATCATCACCTGTGTCCTCGGACCCTCCTGCATCAGCAAGGAAGAACTTGATTTTAAAAAACCCAGAGCAATCTTTATTATATGTCAAATTCCATCTTCGATTGGCCTGTTGCTCAATCGTGACTTAGTACCAAAGCTACAGCAGACATCACACGGTCCCATCCCTGGTTCATTTATCCGTCTTTAAGCCAAACACATATCTACAAAGACCTGTTAAGTTGCTGGTTTAGTGCCGCCGTACACCTTACAGTGATAATCATGTCCAGCGTACGAGAAGTGATTTGTGGTAGAATGAGGATTAGTCCCACCGGGCTTTAAAGAGAGTAGCTGTCATTTTGGCACTGGCACAAATTATGGTTTTGCGTAATGGAGAGACGCACAAGGAGGGACTGCAACCCGATACCCACAGGACTGGCGCAAGTTCAAAAGGGTTTTCTGTAGTTGAGACGGCTGCTCACTACTCGAACAGTAGTGAGCAGCATGGACTATGGCAAACAAAATCTGCTCTAATTTAAACCAGTAAAACATATTAACATGATTCACATTTGCACACACTGTACACACTCAGAAATGTGCCACACTGCAAAAAGTGATTTAAGTCAAAATTGGCTCAAAATGTGACCAAATGTACCTTTTTTCGAGCACATTTTCACTGCCTTAAAACAGGATTTGCCAAAGTAAAATGATATTGTTTTTAAAAGATACAATAAATGTGTCCCTTGGAATGAGAAAATAAAGCAACAGTTGACTAAAAGGCTTTGTCCACTCGATCAAGCCATTACTACCTAATTTTAATCATAATTTTACGGTGCAAGTTAAGCTTTGTAAAGTGCTTGGATGTTTTATAAGCTGTTTTCCGGCTCGATCGATGGTGACAAGTGATCTGGGTGTAAGCAGGAGAGGGCAGGAGGGGGCAGGAGGGGGGCCTCGGTGCAGGAGCATAAGTGGAATTCCAGTGTGTCCTATCTCTGCGTCAGTGGTGGGGTGGCCGGGGTGTCTCTGGTGTCGCCCAAATCTCTTGACACTTCCAGAGATTCAGTGTTTATTTTGAAAGGCGTCGTAGGCTTAGCTTCAGGTTAATGCCCAGACCCTGTTGCATTTGGCTAGCACCGAGCAAAATTTCTTCCTCTGTCTACTAAATGGCTTACTGTAGTCATTATTATCGGGAACAAACAGTGTATGTCTTTTAATTAAGAACCACTTTAAGATTGATTAATATCTCAGTGTGTGGAGGAAAGAGAATGATGGAAGAGAGGTGTAGGGTCAGAGAGTTCTAGGGCCTTTTGCTTCTCGTCTCAGATTGTGTATTTTCTTTTGTATCGGCAATGACGATTTGATGAGGGACCAGAATGTCTTCATACTCTGAAAAATGCTCATCATAAGGAACAAGAGGGATGGAAGAGAGGTGTAGGGTCAGAGAGTTTTAGGGCCTCTCTTTTCTTGTCTTAGACTGTGTATTTGCTTCTGTATTGGCAATGATGATATGACGAGGGACACGAATTTTGCAATCCTCTACAAAGGGCTCACCATAAGAAATGAGAGTGATGGAAGAGAGGTGTAGGGTCAGAGAGTTTTAAGGCTTTTCTTGTCTTAGACTTTGTATGTGTGTGTTCTATCGTGTTGCCTTTGTATTGTTCTTGTCTGACATTTTTTGTTAGTTACAAACCACCCTGTTTGCTTTTTTTTTGTTGGCTGAAATTCTGCTACTTAAAATTGTCTTGTATGAGTTTTGAATTGAGCTTGAGAGTGTGTACCTACTCCTTTAAGGACCTCCTAGTGCAACTGGGGCAAGTATAGCACCGCGTCTTGAAGAGATAGGAGAGACGATACACTCCAGTACTTTATTTAGAATCCTGGCAAATGTCACTCTGGTGCAGACTTAGCAGCTGGTGCCTCAAACCAAATTACTTTTACAAATGAGCGTGCAGAGACTGAGAGTGTCTCACATTTGCAAAGTATGCATATTATTTCTTTTCTTACAGGCCTTTTAAAGCTATTTATATATTTTACTTCCTGATACTCAAAGCTGTTGGTACCAGGCACCAAAGTAGCAGAATTTCTCAAGAATCCAGGGAACGTAAGGCAAGACTTGCCTTACGTTGCTGATTTTAGTAGTACTAATATCTCTCGTAAACTTTCAGGGCTCCACCTTTTCCTATGTGTGTATTACAAGCAAATAAACAGGAGTAAATAGCTGTACTTAACATTATTTACAGAATCAGAAGTGTTTTTTTGCCATTGCAAGTAACAGAAAGTCACAAACTAGGAATTTGCTTTGGCTCAAGTTCTAGGAGTAAAAATAGGTAAAGGCAAGCATAAAAAAATACCTCTACTATACGTGTGCATACAATAATAGACATTTAGCAGTGCAGTTAAAGTGGCACATACAGTATTTCCATGCTACAGACAAACATACTTTTTGTTCATACACGTTTTTTTCACTCCTGGAGAAGCCTGAAAAAGACACCTATATTCACCTTGTACTGTTGCATTGGGTTTTTTTTCCCAAGTTACTACTAGTTACTACTACTTCTACTACTACTACTACTGCTGCTGCTGCTACTGTAAAGCAACAATTAATCACTGTTCGACCAGAAACATTGTACAAAACAAAGTAGATCATGAATGAAATAATAATACTTGACAACATCAGGGTTCATAGGCAAGGCAAGTTATTTGTATAGCACAGTTCATACACAAGGCATCTCAAAGTGCAACTCAAAGATAAGTATAAGAGATAAGTTTCAGTTTAAGTTTTGGTGTGTGAGAGAGTCTGTATCTGAGGCAGTGCGTTGTATTGCGATGGTATTTCTATTGGATTGAACATTACTGTATCCATGTATTTTATTTATGTAACCAGGGACTGCAGATGGAAACTAGCTGTTGAGCTTTAATCTGGTGCAGAACATATCTGTCTTTGAGCAAAATGTCTCTGTACATTGTTTCTTCAAATAAAGACTAAATAGAATACACAATAGATACAGGGATTTAAAATCATAATCACAGTAAATTAAAAAGAGTAAAGATAAAATCCCAGCTAAACAGAACTATAACCTGGATTTGAACATTGTCAGAGAAGAAGCGTGTCTCACATTGTCAGGAAGACTGTTCCAGATATCTGCATGAATCTGAAACACTGCCTCCCCATGTTTAGTCCTGACTCTGGGCACCAGCAGGAGGCCAGTCCCTGTGCTCCTCAGAGTCCCAGCAGGAGGCCAGTACCTGTGCTCCTCAGAGTCCCAGCAGGAGGCCAGTACCTGTGCTCCTCAGAGTCTGACTTGGTTCAAATGGGACTAACACGTCACAGATGTACTACTGCTTTAAAGTCCATTCTCTGAGCCACAGGAAGTCAGTCAAATGTTCATTGATCTCTAACAATCTTGTTCCTGTTTCCAGATCGCCCCAAAGTCCGCCTGCCCCGCTTCCTCAGGCAGAGATATGTCGCTCATGTGGGAGACAAGATCAACCTGACCATCCCCTTCACAGTAATACACCCACACAAAAGTTTAAACCCCATGGCTTTGTTGTGTAGCCATATATGTTGTTCAATGTGTGGTTTGTGCAAGTCAGCCCAGGAATTTACCAGTGCTGGAGGATACATGAGCAGCTTTACCATCAGAGAGGATAAAAAACCTCCTCCATAACTTCCTCTAAGCTGTTTTAGATAATGAGGGGACAATGCACTCTACTGAGAACTGGGTTATGGAAATGTTGTCATTAAAATTTGAAAATAAAAAACATTTTGATGAGAAATGGCTTCACTACAAAAAGTGACAACAAATAAGTAAAAATTTTTCAAATTTGGAAAAATGTATCTTATTTTGAGCACAAGATTTGCCAAAGGGATAATGAACCAAATAATCTTGTTTTTAAAAAAAATACAAGAAATGTCTCCCCTGGAATGAGAAAATAATGTAAAAGGTTGTTGAAATAAGACTAAATGAATTTGTCCCATTGGCAAATTTTGTTTTAAGACAGTCAGAATGTACTCAAGTTAAGATAAAAACACATGATTCAAGCAATCACTACCTCATATTTTATCGTTTTTAGCAGTATTCAACAATGGGTGAAATAGGTTATGTAATTTCAGAAACCTATCCAGAATAATAAAGATTCATTTTAACTTAATTTGTTCTTTTGTAGCCCAAAATCACACCAGTAGTTATCCTGGAGGACTATGCAAAACTGTTGATCTCACCAACACAGGAAATTCAATGATAAAAAAACACATACAGACATTGGTCCATAATGGGAAAATGGCCGATGTCCATACATGATAAATATCGCGTGGACCAAAAGCATTGTCCTTAGACCCTCCTCCATTGGCTAGGAAAAGGAAACAAAAAACAGTGAAAAGAATGGAGTAAAGATTTCTGCCAGGGGTGTAGACATTCGAGCACAACAGTACATGTGCCGCTGCAGTTTCTCAGTAATATTTCACTCATTGGCTTTGATATTCGAAGGGCAAACCCAAACCTGTCGTGAGCTGGATAAAGAACGGCGAGCCCCTGGACACAAAGAGGGTCAACATCCGCAGCACGGACAGAGACAGCATCCTGTTCATTCGCGCTGCGGAGAGAGACGACTCCGGCGTGTACGAGATGGGAGTCAAAGTGGACGACTTTGAGGATAAGGCTTCACTCATTCTGCAGATCGTCGGTCAGTTTGAACTCCGTCTCTGTCTGCTGCATGTTCAACAATGTACATATACAGCACGGTTCATACACAAGGCAACTCCAAGTGATTAACAAAACAAGATAGCAACGAGCACACAAGGCATCAAATAAAAAAAGAGTAAAGATAAAATCCCTCAGTTTAATGCAAAGCTAAACATAACTGTTTTTTTGTCAGAGAAGAAGCCTGTCTCACATTGTCAGGAAGACTGTCCCAGATTTTAGCTGCATAGATCTGAAATGCTGCCTCCACATGTTTAGTTCTGACTCAGGGACCAGCAGGAGGTCAGTCCCTGTGCTCCTCAGAGTCTGTGTTGGTTCATATGGCACTAATACGTCACTTATGTACTTTGATTCGAGGCCATGGAGAGACTTGTTCAAACATTTCACAAGGTAAAATGTCCTGTATTTGTCCCACAGTGGGGATCTTGCAGCACACATACAGCACAGTAGTAAGAGCACACAGGGAGAACACAAACTAAACAATTTACTTAGCTGCTTTGATTCTTAGATAGCTGTAAATGCTTCATAAGCAAGTAAAGATCAGTATATATCTATATACTGTGTAATGCCAATTATACACATATCTGGCAGGATGATAAGCATATAAAGTGACATTCAGTGGACATTCTGAAATTGCAGTTTTTACAGATGAGATGACATGTACAGGCTCAGCGGATTTTGAAGGAAAGACCTGTATAAGTCTGTACGAGGGTGTATCAGTCTAATGTGTTTTTTCTCAGTCGTTTGGGTCCATTTCTCACTATTAACATTTGCAAAACAATTAGCACAAACTGCAAACCCTATTGGATAACCTGCAAAAGTGCGTCATTTGCTCAAAATGAAAAGTTGATTCCTCAAAAGAAAGTATTCATGTCAATGCAACTGTTTGTGTTTTATTGACTGTTCTGAGAAATGCACTAACTGTTGTGCAAATGTTATTTAGTGATGTGAGAAATGCACAAAAGCGATTTTTTATGTTATGTTACGTTAATTAGAGCAAACATAAGAAATAGCATTATAGTAGAACTGTGCACAAATGTAAACAATACAACAGTGCATATAACTGCAAACTGAACATACATCATTCCTTGGACTGCCACGCCTTCCGTCTGTCTGGCCACATATTTTCATCTCCATCTCTCCATCTTCCCTTGAAGGCAAAGCAATGAAATGAGTGCTATTAGTTTTATAGGGAATGACTCTTCAGCTTCATAATATTTCATTTTGACTGACAGGACAGAAGCAAATTATAGTGTTATAAAACAGCAGAGAGTTGTATGAAAGTAACTGATACATGTCCAAAAGCATTTGTAATCTGTTCAAAGGAGGAAATGCTAGGATGATGTGCACAAATGACTCAATGTTGTGGAGGTTTAAGTAATAGTTTTGACAACTTTAAGTCTGGTGTAAGAAAAACACCAAACCGACTGAGAAAAACTGTAAACTTGTTCTGCAGAGCTGCCCGGACCTCCTGCCAGCATCAAAATCGCAGACGTGTGGGGCTTCAACGTGGCTCTGGAATGGACCCCGCCTACAGACAACGGAAACACAGAAATCACCGGTTACACGATCCAGAAGGCCGACAAGAAGACCGGAGTATGTGGCTGGCGTCTCTCTGCATTCACACATTAGGCCTCTTTAATACCACAATCACAGCTTTGTTAAGTGGCATGTCATACATCCTCGGCATTGAATTCTCTTGGCACTATGCAGGATTGGTTCACCGTGGTGGATCATTATCACCGATTGAACGCCACTATCTCTGACCTCATCATGGGCAACACCTACAAGTTCAGGGCATTCGCCGAGAACAAGTGTGGAATCAGTGAAGAAGCAACGGTGACGAAAGAGGAGGCCACGATCCTGAAGACGGGTACGCAATGACCGTAAAAAAACCAAAACACAATTATAGTAGTCAATGTTAGATAGACAGATAGACAGACAGACGGATAGATACAATACAAATTTTAATTTAAGGAGAGAGAGATTTTTTTTTTCCAAAACCGAGCACCAGTTAGATCCACCCATTCTCACCCCCAATGCTTCCTGATTGGACAGAAATATATTTGATTTAAACATATTTGATTTGATTTATTAATTTGAATATTATAAACAGGAATCAATTCATGTAACGTACCAGATTTACATATTACACACAATAAAAAATACATATTTCCATGCACATACATTTAGGGCTTTTCCTTTTTGCATTGGAGAATATATTGATTTACGTGATAATACATGATCCTATGGAAAAAATATCAGCCGAATGAAATACCATTTAAGTTACAGACACCACCTTTAGTTTAATAACACTACTTATCTATAATACTTTGATGTTGTTAAGGTATTGACTACAAACCACCTGAGTACAAAGAGCGCGATTTTACTGAGCCCCCCAAGTTTACTACAAACCTGAGCGACAGAGCGACCACCGTCGGCTACAGCACCAAGCTGCTCTGCTCCGTCAGAGGATCCCCAAAGGTAGGACTCCTCTCCATGTCACTAAACAATGTCACACAGAATCCTATCTTCATTTACAGAAAACTTTTTGCTTTCCACCATAAAGCCTGTGAAGCCAAGAAGTTTGAGAAAAGAGGTGTCAAACTATTTTTTATTTTTTTATTTTTTTCATATATTTTATTATGTGGTAGATTTTTGAGTGGCACATTTTTGAGTTTTGTTTAATCCAAAACTGAAATGAAATGTAAAGAAGAGATGTAATAGATGAATGATTAGGGAATAATTTATGATATATTTTTTTTAACATGTATTTATTGATTTATTTGACAGGGACATTGCACGATTAAAGTATTGTTCAGACCGGACATAGCTACAAGCTAATTTTCATTCATAGTCCCTGGGCAGAGGGAAAGTGACGGCATATGTACAGTATATTTTTACCTTAAAAAAATTACGCGTTGGGCTATAATTTTAGAATCAATTCAATAATGTTTTTTTATTTTGCATTAACTTTACAATGATATTTAAAATTAAGACATGCTATAAATGCAAAGTTAATCATAATAGCTGTTCTAGAACAAGTGCTAACGGTCATTAAGCAGAATCTGAAGCGCTGACTCCCCATGTTTAGTCCTGGCTCTGGGCCCTAGTCCTGGCTCTGAGCCCTAGTCTCAGTTCTGGGCCCAAGTCATTGCTCTGGTCCTGGCTTTGAGCCCTAGTCCTGGCTCTGGGCCCTAGTCTCAGCTCGGGGCCCTAGTCATTGCTTTGGTCCTGGCTCTGGGCCCTGGTCCTTGACAATGGCTCGATGCAGAGGGAGTAGCTGTCTGCGATAGTGTGGAGGTGGCGAGTGAGAAAATCTAAGTAAGACATCACCGGTGCATCACTTGCTGTTCTCAGTGGAGGCATATTGTACTAAAGCGCTAACAGCAGCGATACTTAAGGCTCTAATTAGACTGGCATCCTCAGGCTTCTAAACTGTCCCAAGGTGTGAGCTGGGATCATGGGTCCTGGGTCGTTTGGTCACATGACTAAGATTCTCGTAAGGGGCCGGCTGGAGCTGAGGCACCAAAACAGGCCGACTGCAGCCTGAGGAATCCAGTCCAAGAATAGAAATATATTTATAATTTAATAAATGTATTTTGTTTTTATTTATTTATTCATTTCAAACGTGCACGGGAGAAAAAAATTTGCTACCCATAACACATTTTGAAGTACAAATTACATTGTCAACACAGTACAAGATCTACAAGTAATTCCTTTGAGATTTGAACAGATGTTTTGTATCTTTTGGCAAGGCAAGTTTATTTGTATAGCACATACACAAGGCAACTCAAAGTGTTGAACAAAACAAGAAACAATCACACAAGGCAAACATAATCGCAGTACATTAAAAAGAGTTAAAAGAATATCAAATCTGTTTTAACCTGGATTTGAACATTGTCTCACATATTCAGGAAGACTTTTCCAGATTTTAGCTGCATAAATCTGAAATACTGCCTCCTCATGTTTAGTTCTGACTCTGGGACCAGCAGGAGGCCAGTCCCTGTGCTCCTCAGAGTCCCAGCAGGAGGCCAGTCTCTGTGCTCCTCAGAGTCCCAGCATGAGGCCAGTCCTTGTGGTCCTCAGATTCCCAGCATGAGGCCAGTCCCTGTGCTCCTCAGAGTCCCAGCATGAGGCCAGTCCTTGTGGTCCTCAGATTCCCAGCATGAGGCCAGTCCTTGTGGTCCTCAGATTCCCAGCATGAGGACAGTCCCTGTGCTCCTCAGAGTCCCAGCATGAGGCCAGTCCCTGTGCTCCTCAGAGTCCCAGCATGAGGCCAGTCCCTGTGCTCCTCAGAGTCCCAGCATGAGGCCAGTCCTTGTGGTCCTCAGATTCCCAGCATGAGGCCAGTCCTTGTGGTCCTCAGATTCCCAGCATGAGGACAGTCCCTGTGCTCCTCAGAGTCCCAGCATGAGGCCAGTCCCTGTGCTCCTCAGAGTCCCAGCAGGAGGCCAGTCTCTGAGGAGCACAGGGAGATCATATGGCACTAACTAATTACTTTACGTGTGCTCTTTTGGAATTATTTTTAGATATCATGTTTTTATCGCTACACTTGAATCCAAAGACAGTCCGTGAAGTTACTCCGCAAACTGAATCACAAAATCTTCTTCTTGACCTCACATTTACAAACTCAACTTTTTATGCTTTTCTCTGCAGCCCAAAATCCAGTGGCTGAAAAACAAGATGATTATCGGAGACGACCCTAAGTACAGGCAGATCTGCGTCCAGGGAATCTGCTCCCTGGAGATCCGCAAACCCGGTAACTGGGACGGCGGCGTTTACACCTGCAAGGCCAAGAACAACCACGGAGAAGCCGCCGTCAGCTGCACGTTGGAGGTCAAACGTAAGCCACGACCCTATTCCTTCAACTATGAATGACCCAGTGTCCTGAATCAGTCATGCTGCAGCTAAAACAATGTATTCATTTTATGTTTACAGAGCCTGTGAATCCCGATGCAGAGAAGAAGTAAAACATCACTCTCCAAGGTGAGGATTAATTCAATTCAATTCAGTTCAATGTATTTTTGTGAGTCGGAATTTGCCAAAACAGATTAGAGAATCAAACCGTTCAGACTCAACAAATGCAATTAATCAAAAACACATAGAGCCATTGGTCCATAAGGGGCAGATGTCCATAAATGTTAATTAATGTTTATTGACACTGGTCCCTCCTGCATAGAAAAAAAATGGGAAAAATCTCTAAAAACGTAGTGGGAGATAATATATTTATTTAACTAGTCTTAGCATTTGTTTTATAGGTATTAATTCTATTCATTGTTCTGTCTTCATAATGTATGTATTCTCAATGTTTTATGCAATACATTGAAAGAAATACATATATCTATCTGCGTGTGTATAAATATAACTGATGTAAGACTATAACGTTTTGTGGCTTTTAATTTAGTTTAGTTTAGTTCAGTTTTATGGTTTTTAATTCTACTAAGAAGACACAGTGAATCTTTCTAAACGGATGTAAGAATAACTTTTGACACTGGATTCGCTCCTGAACCTAATAAATTATCAAGATTGAAGTATCTGATGGTTTTATTGGGATACGATGCTTTCATACCTGGAGCTGGATAGGTGTGTGTGTGTGTGTGTGTTTGTGTGTGTTTGTGTGCGTGTCTCCATGACCTCCTCTCCATATATGGACGTTGCTAAAGTTGGAGAAGGTGCCTTGCCCCACTCCTCCTCATGGCAGCCCCCATAAATTAAATATATAATACCCGGTCGTGTTCTCAGCCCGCCGTCTAAATCACATTTCATTGACTCAGCAGCTAAAGCCAAGGACAGAGATTAAAACTTTTACAATTGGATTACATTCTCAGCAAAAGATATCGCTGCTTATAATTTTATCATTCTTGCATATTGTCACGGACATGTCACGGATCTCAATCTGGTAGAAGCCGCACTTAAATTTAGCCAACAATGTTTACATGCGAGTTCCTGATTGCGGCTTATGGCAGTTGTCCCTTGTTGCTGACACCTGTTGTTGTTACATGTTCATCTGCGGCCGGCTAATTTAGGAGCAGCGGGAGTGAGGTCTTTACAGCCTGAGGTATGTAGCCTTTTTAGCCAAGCATCAAGAACCATTGTTTCCCCATGACATTTCATTTAACTCTCTAAATCTCTCTCGTTCAACAGGAGGTGCCGGATTTCTGGAAGAACGTGTATATACAACTGGTGACTCCAACTCTAACCAGACAGTAATTGCCCGTGCTGTCCAATTTTAGGAACTTTACGATGAATGACTTGAACTTATTAGCATCACATCCATGTCCAAAATCAGCTCATCTTCCCAACAAGTCCATCCAAGTACACATCCATGTTCCACATCATGCATCATCGGAGAATTCTTTGTAACATCAATGTTTATAACAATAAATAATTTAATTTCTGCTAGTGCTTTTTCAATGTCAATGTAAATACAAGATCTCGACTCCTGTTGTGTGCAGTGTATGTTTGCAATATGTTTGTCAGTACATTACATTAATACATGTAGTAAAAGGCTGCAGTTTGCCATGTGGGGAAGACAGTAAAACACTCTTATCTCTAAACGTTCTCTTTCTCTGGTTTGTTCCTCAATAGTCCAGGTTAATTATCATAGATCTGTTTTTATTTATGAGGGGTATAGAACATTATATTCAAAATCCTAAGACTTGTTGGTTGGGAAAAGCAATCAAGACAAATGCAGCCAGCGAAAATTCAATTTGGTAGACGTTAACCAAAATTACCCCCTCCAGGCCGGCTCGCATCCCCAGCCTATCGCTCAGCAGACGCCCCCTTCCAATCATCTGTACCGACTCGCAGCCGCATAAAAACGGAGCAACTCCCACTCTCTGCCTTCTCGAAGCCTTGCAACCACCGCCTCCCCTCCTCCTCCTCTTCACCCTGCCTCCAATCTGCCTTCAATCTGCTTCCGCTGCCAAATGCCGCCACCAGTGCCTAGGTCCCGGGGGATTGTGCGCGCTCTATCGCAGGAGCCTTTCCGATCTGAAGGCCGCACCGGGACCTAGGGCGCCAAACCTCCTTTCAATAAAATACTCAAAACTTCCTGTTTTCTCATCTCTCCAAATTGAAATAGGAAGTGGGTCATTAAGTAAGTGAGAAATAGGATACTGTTAAAATTGTCAACATGTCACGGAGGAAAATTTCAATGAACCCAGATGGATTGTAAAAATAAGTATTTAATCAATGCAAATAAAATATATATATAAAAAAAAACAAAGCATAAACAAAGGATCAGGAACTAAACAGGGGACAAAGACAAGAACTAAATAAGATGTGGAAATGGCCCTCACAGAACACATGAGGTCAGGTCAGCACACAACAGGAAGTAGAACTGATGTCGACAAATCAGAAAAGAAAACAGGAACTAAACCATGACACGACATCAACTGCAGAGAGAGCAGATCGTCCCTGATCGGTCTCCTCTGGTCCTGATCTGTCTCCTCTGGCCCTGATCGGTCTCCTCTGGCCCTGATCGGTCTCCTCTGGTCCTGATCGGTCTCCTCTGGTCCTGATCGCTCTCCTCTGGTCCTGATCGGTCTCCTCTGGCCCTGATCGGTCTCCTCTGGTCCTGATCGGTCTTCCTTTATTTCAAACTTAACACAGGATGTCTCCGACACCACGGTGTTTTAGTTCATTTGAAAATGCAGATGATTTGAACAGTTCTCAAATTGCACAATTTGGACAAACCCACACACCACAGTCAAATCTTGGTAAGATTTATTTACTAAAAATTACATAAATAATGTCATTTTTTGAATGGTAAGTTTTTTCTTTTGCATGAATATAGTTTTTCATTTAAGAACTTGTTTTAAGATAATATTAGAGAAAAAGATCTGAGCAGTGAGTTTTTACAGTAAAACTGTTTTAAAGTAATTTTTTCTTATTTCCAGACAACTTTTCTTGTTTAGATGTTATGCTATATTTGAAAAAAAAAATAGTTGATCAATAATGTTTTATAAAAAAGTTTATAAAAAATGTATGTTTTTTTATTCTAGAATCAAGTAATTTGGGGCTAGTATTGTTTTTTTTTCCAGTGAAGAACTGGTCTATGATGAAATAAAACACAATTTAAATGTTCTCCTTTTGAAGGGCCTGTGTAAACATATGTTTGCTTCTTTAAAAACTCACATTTACATTTTCTTAATCAATTTTGGTTCGATTTAAGGCCTAATGCTGTAAATACGAAATCCTCCTGGCACATACAGTAAGCCAGTCAAAGAGAGGAGAATTCCTTTTCAGAATGAAGTGTTCCCAGAGGAACACAGAGAGTATGCCCGGACCTCGTCAGAATAATCCAGGCTCATAGTCCTGATCGTGTAAGTATTTGGTCTGAGAGTTGCAGACATAGTGACATGAGGCCTTCTGCCAGAGCTCAGCAGCAGCAGCTACTGCTCTGAATACTTCAACTTCCTGTTCCTCAAGAACAATGATAAACTAAACACTAAATAAACATGCATCTAAAGCAATAGTTAAGGTCTATGTCATTGGAATTGTAGCAATGGTGAGGTCGGACTGAATCTATGAACGGAGCGCCCTCTAGTGTCTTTTTGTGGGACTGCAGTATCACTGCAATATATTTTTTCTTTTGAGAATTTTTATTGTGAGATAAAAAATACAGATGTCAATTGAACATCCACTAATTTACATAATGAATGGAATTGGTCTGGAAGAGTCTAATTTACGACAGATGATGGATTAAACTGTGCTCTTTGAGATGTTCAAAGTATGTTAAATGTTTGTATCCTAACTCAGATTTCAAAAGTTAATTTATTTCTGTGAGACTTACTGATTGAGTTGTTGTTTTTTATCGTTGAATCAAAGAAGTCAGTGGACTTTTGAACAACAATAATGATAATAATTATATATATATATATATATATATATATAATATCATTATATATATAATTATATATATAATTATAACAGGTTTCATACAGCACTTCTTGGGACACTCAAAGACACCTCACATGTCATTATTCTGTCACTCCATATACACGGTGGTGAGAAACTGCTGCTGAGGCCACAGCTGCCCTGGAGCACACTGACTAAAGCGAGGCAACCAGTCTCTGCCATTGGCCTCTCCCGGACCACCAATAACCACACACCCACACACACACAAGACTCATTCCAATGTGGGTGTCTAGCCCAAGGACATAACCACAGTTTGGCACTTTTCAGCTGTAGCCGCCCCAATATGGCACCTGATGTTTCCAGAGGTCTTCCATCACAGTACTCACCAGGCCCTGTCCTGCTTAGCTTCAGACGGGATCTGGCTTTCACACACAAGTAAGTAAGTAAGTAAGTAACCTTTATTTATATACCGTCTTTCACAGACCGGAGTCACAAAGCGGTTTATAATTGTCATTTTTGGGCACTTGTCCTCCCACTCCACACAGAGATGGGAGCGGGGTCGCCAGTACAGGAGGCGCATGCTAGAACTATTGTACATATTTTTAGTGGTAGGAGAAACCGGAATACCCGGAGGAAACCTACGCAGACACGGGGAGAACATGCAAACTCCAGCAAAGAAAGGCCCTGTTCCGACCGGAATTCAAACTCAGGACCTTCTTGCTGAGACGCGAGAGTGCTATCCACTCTGTCACCGTGCCGCCCAGGTGCAGGTCACAAAACAATATTCTAATTATCCAACGTTCCCCTGTCGATAAAACCCTTTCTTTGAAGAAAGCAATGTACGTTTTACTTTTTTTTTTAGAATCCCCTAGTTTTTTAACTATATCAAATGGTTGAGATACAGATTGATGGTAAAGGCCTAAAACCATGTGATAGAGGTAGATTTCAGCTCCAAGCTTCAAGTAGTGACTCAAAAAGTGATCCAGCAAATGGTTGAGGAAACCATTAAAGGGTTAATATGGACATAATGTATGGGATCATGTGACTCACTGGTCTCTAGTTTTGTGTTAAACCGGTTCCTTCGTGCGTCCAGTCCGCAGTCACCCTA